CCAAGTCTCTCCTCCCAAAGGGCCATGAAGGCCATGGCCGTAATGGGCTTCGTCATGGAGTAGCACCTGCAACAGAAACAACAACCCACCGGCGCGGCCTTGACGCCGGGGCCCCGAACACGTGAGCCACCCATTCCTGATTTGAGGTGAGAGGAGCTCTTCAGTCATGTGGTCTCGCAAATCTGTTGCATGTGGTGTCCCTCCTTTCTTAGCACTCAATTTGCATAGGAGACAAATGCAAATGTGCATAGATGTGTACATGCATGCGCATGCGCACATTTCCGTGGCGTCGTCCTGCCTTACCAACTTCTTGGGCCTGGATTGAGATGGCAGAACTCAGGAACCACGCATAACACATGGCAACTTCCAAAACAGCTCTTGTATGATCATAGAGCTCAGGGATTCCGCCGTGCCCAGTCCCAGGTGGCCTGAACAAAGACTTGTCTGTCATCGGGGCGCGCATCTCCTTGTCCTGGCGAGCAAATTGCCCCAGGGAGAATTCAGCCGGCGCTTCCAACTAGGTCCTCCAGATTTGAGAGGGTAGAATAAATTGGTGCCGGAGTCCTTTCTGCAGTCCAAACAAGAAACGGTGACAGGGCACTACTGGGGGACCTAGCCAAGGTCGCTGCTTTTGCCGCCCCCAAACATGTTCCATTTCGAGATGGCCCGTTGAGTGGTCACATACAAGGACCCCCGTGGTGACCAGGGATTCGTCGCTGGGCCCTTTGGCCTTGCGACGCAACTGGAACAAGAAAAGGGCCCGAGCATTGAATGACTGCTGGAAATGCCCTGTGGGCAAACCAAATTGGAACAAGTAGGAATTGTCTGGGTTGGCCACTCCCCACCAAACTTGTGAACAAACACGGACATCGTTTTGGGCTGGTTGATTTCAAGAAGCCTCCCCCGCAAAAAAAACAACAAAAGTACTAAAGCAGTGGAAACAGGGAGCAACCACTCTTGGGTGCTGTAGATCCCCGAGCAAAAGGTTTAACTTTTTGCTGGTTAAAAAGAAAATATGAAGGGAATCCAAAAAGTTAAAGTCTAAAGATCCAACCCAATAGCGGTAGAGCACTCAAACAAGATCCGACCGGGAAAAAAAAAAAAAACATGAGCAAACGCAAGGGCTTCGGCCTTTCACATTTCTCGCACCCCTTTTGTCCTCCAGTCCCTGGCTGGCGGCAACAGTTGAGAAAAGTTGGTAGGTGGCTCACTTGCTGAGTGAATAGGCAAAAAAAACAACAAGACTTTATATTTTGCCACTAAAGTGGTCTGCTGGAGAAGTTTAACATCCAGGAACTGAGGAAGTGAGGTGGCGTGTGGTCATTCTCAAGATGGCTCCGGAACTACGCTCACTTCACTCGGCCTGATAACCGCGGATGTCCACATACACAAGCTGGTTGTCCTTCATGACACACTCCGCAACTCCGGGAATGTAGCCTGGGGCCGGCAGTGTCTGTGCTCATCCACTTGGGTCTGGGCACGGGCGCTTGCTTCATGGTGGAGCGTGTCGATCGGATCAAGTCACCTGGAGATTGTTCCGGGGTTGTTTAGGGGTGTTTCCCTGGAAGCGAAGGATTTCTCAATGGGAAAGCTTCCCTTACATGAAGTTTGGGGCTCAGGAACCCTGGGTCAAAACTTGTGTTGATTAGAACAGTTAGAAGCCATAAACGTTCAACTGCGCTCCTACTTCTTGTTTCCTTTACTAAAGCATAAGCTGCTCGAAGAACGTTCTTGCCGCATTGGTGCCAACACGACGCGCACTGCGGACGTCTCAGTCGACGCTACCCACTACTCCAATTCAATGTAGATAAGTTCCCATGTAACTTTAGTGCATAAACCCTGACATGCATGAGCATGGACAGCATAAAGCTTTGCATACATGAGTGTGTATATGTACTTATTCTCCCTCTCCACCTCTCTCTCTCTCGTGCCTCTTGCATGCCTATCACTAGGGTCCCAAACCCATGGCGATCTGCCGCTCGTTGGCCTCGGAATGGGACGCCAAGGTTTCAGCGTCCAGGCCCACGTCCTCCGGGTCGCCTGGGACCGAGAGATGCGACTCAGAAATGGGCGACTCGGAAATCTGGGGCGGTGCTTCAAAATTGGTACCTAGGGCTCCCTAGCTTTCCCCTTAAAACATCACCCAAGGGATACTCACCTTTCAGGGGCCAAAAGGTGATGTTTGAAACGGCCAGAAAGGGAAATATAGGGAACTCTGCCTAAAGTGGCATCTAAAGACTAAAACCTGCGCAATGGTTCAACAGATTTATGGCTGAAACATGCTCAAACAGGCTTGCACCGGAATTTTGGGGCCGTGTCTGGCTTGGGTTGGGTTGCTTTGGAGCTACCCGACTGGCATCCTCCAAAGCCGACATGGTGGTGCCACCAACTGTAAGCAAGGTCATTCCAAATGCTGCTTTTGTTGGGGCCAGGTCCCAATCATTTGGTCCAGGGTCCGGGCACCTGGTACAAAGCAGGTTCGGAGAGAAATGCAATGAAATGCCAAAGTGCATGCCTCACACGTCCAACTCCCCAGTAAAACGGGGTACTACCTGCATTCTTCTTTGCTACGATTGGGAATGCAATGGGCACCCGGCTCGGTGGGGTGCCACTCAAACCTGCTTATTTAGCCTTAGCATCCCTGTCCCCGGTTTTCGCACAGGCCTTTTTTCTGTGACAGTAAGCCTTTCAACTTTGACTTTCGACCTGTGTTTAAGATATGTCCCATTGACAGATACTTAAGCCTGATACAAGGTTTATTCCCCGCTCATTTACCCCGCAAGGTCCAGCATTCTGTGGTGAACCTCTTGCCAGCAATTCCACAGATTTGGAGTGGTCGCTTCTTAAACTGCAAAAGCAGGCTTGCTCTGAACCCAAGCAACGCAGCCTCCCTGCCCCTGTTGCGGCTTAGTGTAGGGCCTCCCTGACCGAAGCGAAAGTTGTACCGTTGCGCTGCACAGGCCTTCCAGACCCAACATGGGTGTTGGCCAACATTGGTGTTGGATCCCCGTATGGGTATGGACGTGTACTTTTGAGTCAATCATCCTTTACACAGGGATCTATGTCCGCCGAGCATTTTGGTTCACAGTCCTCTAGCTGCACAAAATCCGTGTGCCACCATGATGCCCTCGACAGCCAGTCCTCGCCCCCGACCACCCATGGAAGGCAAGGCACGTGTGGGCAGCCCAGGCAAGCCTTGGCCAAAGCGGGGGGTTCTGACAGCTCTATCCGCTCTCAAAGTGTTCTCCTCGGAGCTCCAAGAAGTTGGCAAGGGCAGCAATCGCTGCAGTAGTGCCATGCACAAAGAAGATGATTGCTTCAAAGAGGCACCCAGATTTTCTACCTCAACAGATCAAGCCAGGTGTCATCCCAGGGCTGTTGCGAATGTCAACTACGGCCCAAGGCTCAAACTTAATCAGCTCATCGGCTTGGAATGGTCGGAATGGAAGTCCAAGACGGGAATGGGCCATGCAAGTGGTTGCTAACTCATGCTGGTTCCCTTAAGCATGAAACTGTGCGGGGTCCAACCGCCTCTTCATCTTCATTAGGGAGTTTTTGATGGGCATCGTTTTTCACTTAGATGGGGGTTTAAGTCCACCAACCACTTTTCAGGAGATTCCTCATTGAATGGCGCAGCCACGTACCTACATGCAGGGACCGCAAAGAACATTTCCCACGCACGCCACCGGTCATGTAATGCTATATGGCCTTGCCAGGATGACTTGTAGCGGGAGCCTGACGCCCATGGTTAGTGTTAGGGGCGATGAGTCTTGGCAAGTCTCGGTCGCGCCCACAATGGGCCAGTGATCTTAAGTGGACCCTGCGCACGCTCATCAAGACTCCAGAATCCCTATCCAGAGTCCCGCGAAGGAAAAGGTACATCTTGGCTGGAAGCATTCTACCTGTAAATACAAGGTGATCACCTTTTGGGACCCCTACTGAAAATAGGCCAAAAAGGGAAAACCAAAAGCTCAAAAGGGCGATTCGCTTTGAACAACTGGAAGCATTTCAGCCCGTTCGAGATCCAAGCCTTCGGGCTCCTCAAGCCTTCGGGCTCACCATTCTCCAGAGGCAAAAATATAGTGCCAGATTTCCGCAAGCCAAGCATCTCTACTCTTGGTATGGTAGCAAACAACTTTGTTTTGTTGCAGACCCCCAGTAAAAATGAACAGAACCAAAAACAAAAAAAACATGCCAAGAACAGTGAAGCAAGTGGTGTCGAACATTGGGGCCCCCTCCAAAACTGCTTTGACACGCCCATCGATGCGCGTCGGCTGGGTACTTTAGAAGCAGGCAAGCTTGACGACGCAAATTTGACTTCACAGCTAGTGCCGGAAAACATATAAAACTTCTCCCAGTCCTAGATCCAAACGTTCCACGCTATATCTGAAGAGACCCTTCCAACGACTCCCATGTGGGTGTGGGTCAAAAGTAGGTACCCCAAGCGGTCCCCCGCTTGTTTAATTTTGCCCCGAGGTTCGCATCTTCTGCTCGGCCATGGTTTCGGCGATCAGGAGCTGCTCAACAAGCCAGGGGCGAAAGGGCTGACTGAAGCCACTTTGGGCTGCGGCGGCGTGACGTAGGCGTGTCCATTTTTGAATGGTCTGAAAAGGAAACCTGCAGACCCATGTTGTGAAACGTAATTTTCGAGCGGCTTGCCCGTTGTGGCTGGCTTCTTTTAGGCAAATCAGCTGATGCGTCCCCAAACCGTTGAAAACAAGGTCAAGAAATCTTCACGGCAGCGGAACGCCCACAGAACGCCAACACACACACACACACCACACACGCCACACACGCTTATTAGCAACCTGGAGGGGGCACAGCACTCGCTAGGGGCACGGGACCTTTAGCAGGTTCATTGGTAGGGCTGGCCGGAATGATGCAGAAGCCTGAGGCCCATTACCGACTCAACAAGCCAGGCTATTGCAGCCTATCCTATTGATTGTCAGGCAATTCTCACTGGCAGCCCCGCCCCCCAATCCAAAAGCCGCCGTCGAAGCCTGCAGAGCGTGCAACCGAAGATCGACCTCCTGCGCGCGCAACCGAAGAACGCAGCCCTGGAAAACATACGCGCGGCCCTGCGTTGAGGTTGGGAGAAAGCCGTCCAACCTTCCCGTTGAACCGACCACATGGCAGTAGAAGCATCAAGGAACTGAAAGCATTCAGGTGTGGCTCAATTGGGCATGAGACTTGTGTGCGTGTGTCGATAAGAAGTCGTGCCTTCCCAAGAATCCCAAGTTCATATGTCAGGGGTGGTCATGATGCCCATAACCAATTGAAACAACAGCCATTTCAAACATGCCGACCATCCGAGGCAACCATCGGGTCGGCTCGGTCTCGCGCACGGCTCAAACGCGCCCCCCGGGCGTTCCTGACGTCCCCGTCCGTGCACTCGAGCGCGAGGACTGGCGGCCGGAGGAAGGGGACGATCTCTTCTTGCGGAAAGCGAATTTTCTACCGGGGCTGATTCCCCATTCTTTTCAACCATCGTTCTTTTCAATAAGCTGCCGTTTTTCCTGGGTTTCCGGAGGTTTTCTGGAAAGAAGGATCCCTAGAAAGAATGGGGAAGGTACCCATAGAAATATCCAGGCGGTAAAGCGAAGGGAAGGGAAGGTTTTGGATGCTCAGCACCAAAAGGGTACTGTCTTCCAAGTGAAGCAAAAGAGGAACAAACGAAAGCTGTGAAAATTCGGTGCGCACGGGGAAAGCTAGATCGGATTGCGTCTCGGCAAGTGCTAGAATGCTGTGTGGGTGTTCTTTTTTCCTGCTTGAAGCGTCTCATTAAAACAAAACCAATGGTGAAGGCGTTGGAGGTGTGGTGAGGCATGCAGCGCAGCAAGAGGGTACAGGTAGCATGCAGGTTCCCATTTTTCATTTGTGTCTTGATCTCTGCCACATGCCGCCTCCCGCCGCATGTGCTCCTACGATCAAGAAAGGACCCTTGCGCTCGCGCTCATCCTGCCAAGGCGTGGCTGAAAAGGGTCACCCGCACGAGCAAATGTCCTCTCTTTCTGGGGGCTGCTTACAAAGCGTGACGTGAAACTGCTTCCTACTCAGGTTTGAACTCTGCAGGGAAGCTCCCCTCTTGATAATCAAAGCATGCGTCTGAACATCCCCTTCCCTCTCACATCCTTTCCGGACCTCAGGGGCACTTGGCAACCCCACACTCGCCAATGAAGGACATGCAAGCAGTTCAAACATGCACAAAAAGGGGGCCAATGAACAAATGATACACCGAGGTCCCCGAACTACTCAGCGCAGTGGCCCTGGGCCACCCGACGCCAGTCAGCAAAGACTGCGGCGATGCGACAGCCCCATGTCTTTCGACTGCATGGGATTCCAATAAAACACGAGGAACAAAACTACTCGCACAGGGGCAGCCAATGTGTGGCGAGCATCCTGCCCAAGGGCTTCCAATGTCGAAATGCAAAAGCCGATCACGTGGCACACGGTCAGCCATAGTTCAACTCAAATGGATCCCTGCAAAAACAACGTCATAAAAACAGCCAACCCATTCTGCACACTGAGCCAGGCGGCGCCTAAAGCACTGGTTTTCACTGTGAAAATGGAAACCATCTACCACAGCAATGCACAGCGCAACGTCCATAGCAAAGCAACATCACATGAATCATATGAGTTCCAAAGTAAAACAAAGATTGCGTTTGCCTTTCAGACCTCGGCAACCTGACATGATGTGATAGTTGCATGACAGCCCGTGGGCACAAGTTGCATGCGCGCAAAGACTTCTGCAAAGAACACCAACAATTGATAATGTGCAAAGAATAGGCCATAGGGGTCTATCTGGTAGATGTTTGTTCGAGTCCTCTTTCAAGCCTGCCGGAAAAGTAGAATTGATATCTTACTAAGTGCTCCGCTGTGCGTGTGTGTGTTTCAACAGTGTCAATCATGAGAGCAGTTCCTCACACGTTGGAGCTCGACATGAAATTGGCCGCACATGCTGGGCTATGCCAAGCTGCTCGGGCAACTTGAGACTGCCAGCCATTGTGCCAACAAGGCGTGCCTGCTGCACCGAACCATTTCGCGCAAGAAGTATGCTTCAACTGATGTCTGACTTCAGCTCTGGCCAGTTGGTAGAACCTGATGATGCGTTCAACGCATATTCAGCAACCCTCGTTCTGATACAACACGTTGGGTTGCCGGGGGGGGGGGGTTGCCCGGACCGAATGACGGCAACTCTTGGACGTTGGTTGGGAGTTGTGCGAATCCTATGTGAATAGCAGCGAATCGTGGCGTCGGTGGGACCAGATGAAAGTCTACAAATGTCCAACTTCGCGTATTCGAATCTCAGATTCGAGTACGCGGTGCTGGCCGGCGCAGCGTTCTCATTTGCTCGAAGCAGGCTCCAGGACTGTGGCTTGACTCTCTTAGTGAGAGACCTTCAGAATGCCACCAACACTTGCATGCAGCTGTCCAGGCCGGGCTGCCTTGTATATGTGAAGCAAACAAGTCGTGAGCTGCGCTGATAACTTGCTGGCAGAACTTCCGTTCCTGCACGATACTGAAAGCGCAGCGGAGACAAAGACCAGCATTCGGGAAGGTAGCTCCTTCAAACGCAAGAAGACCCCAAGCCCTCTTAGACACCAGGTGTCTAAAACCACCTGTAGCAAAGTGGCAGCACGTCAGATAAGCAAATGGGACTGCACAGCCGTGTAGAGCGCGCAAATAGCGGAGAAGTCACATGGCATGTGGGGGTGGGGGGTCGGGATCGACTAGCTTGAAACACCGGTTGGCCTCGACATGCCGTGTTCTTTCCATCCCCGTTTTCCCCGTTCCCCCCTCGACAGCCGCAAACACGCTGCGCGGGGCAGCATGAAGGTCGGGGCAAACCCCCCCCCCAGTCAACCCAACAGGTTGGCAATTTTGCTCCCAACCTGCCACCGCAGATCAACTCATACAAACGTCCTGTGCCCCCACGTACCTGCTCCGGCTTGTCACCAGAGTTGAAACCATGAATTTGCCTGGCGCAAGAGTGTCATCATAGCTGTCACGCTGCTCACGGCTCTGCCCTTTCCCACCGGTCAGGATCCTTCGTAAGCTGAATTAAGCTTGCAGCAGGGCCTCCAACAAATTATTTTCCACATGGCGAACTAAGACTTAGCTCGGCTTTGACAAGTCTCTACACTTGACAATGGAAACTTTTTCCGCCTATCTTCAAGTTGAAAACCTACGCGAACTCCATTGCGCTTGCGTCGGTCCTCCTCGGTTCCATCAGTGACTTTCTGAGAAACAAGGCTCGCCCAGCTACAAAGACTGCAATACCCACGGCCTGTGATTTTGACCTTGCTGTCGTCTCCCCTGCTGTTTAACGGCCGGAAAAAACTCCTGTCCACGCCCCGTCTTAGTGACCATCCCCTGAGTGAAAACATCACATATGGCTGGGTCAAAACCAATGGTAAGAAAGACTTGGCCACATGGGTCGGTCTCTTTTTGGAGGGTACCTGTATTTGTTGGTAGCGTTTGGTAAGAAGCCTAGAGAAAAAAAAACGAAATCCATTTTGGCGTGGTTCCCACACACACAGACCCATCCGGACCATCCGGACCATTTGGATTTCCGATCTCTGGGCTTTCCAGCCAACTCCAAGGGCTCCAGCTCAAGGTTGGCATGCCAGTACTGACCGGCATCCAGGCAGGCGTCACCGTGTATTGCCGCACCTCATGGAGAAACCCACTGAAATCATCGCCGCAAGATAGAGATGCAGGAGACATGGGATGACCCGGAGAAAAAAAAAAAAAAAAAAAACGGGCTTCCATGTTGTGTGCCTGGTTTCGACCCACAAGGGCTTGTAACTAATCAGCCGCTGAAAAATCAGAATGTGAGGCCTCTTTGATTTACGTTAAGGCTAGGGCGTACGTTTGCCCCAATCGCACTTCACAGAGTCATTTTCTTGGCGCCACGTGAAGGAAAAATGGCTCACCCAAAATGGATCCAGGGGTCGAAATCCCCCCTTTCCCAATTCCATTTTGAAGGGACCCGGTTATCCTGAGGCAAGGGCCAAGTCTGAAAGGTACATTGGCGGGTTGGTGATGTCCTGAGCATGGCCACTCTGACAACTGGGTGTGGCTCAAAATTAAACGATCGGAGGGGCAAAGCGCAGGTCCATGTTTCCACTTACCAGGGCAACCCATTTTGGAATTCCGGTTTTTGGAGCCACAGCCAACTTGGCGCACCAAAGCCCGCGAGACGTCTTGCGTGCGATTTCAGTGCGCGATTCGCACACGCAGGTTGCTACCCGGCCCGCCCCAGATGTCCGGCGAGAATTTCTGGTGACGTGCTTAAATGGCCTGATTGGGAAATGTTTGATGGTCCCTCATTATATCACCTCAAAGGTCAAACTACCGTGGGTTGACTGAATCCTGCACCACTTTGAAACCACGGGAAACCTTTCTTCGTTGGCTACAGGGGGATCATCATTCCAGGGTCCACCCGCAGTATGTTCTCATGATATGTGGCTTCAACCAACGTCCAAGGCCGGTGCAAGGAACTGATTTTGTCACTCACCGCTGCATCCTTTGTGCATCAGTGGCCGTAGAACTGCTCGTCTCGTTCCTGGCCATCCCCAGCCACAACCCTTACACCTCCATTTGCTTAAGAATATGTGTTATTTTCCCTTGTTGGTTTTGAAAGGAATTCATCACTACTGAAAATATGTTTATTTGTTTCCTGGGGCCTTAAACAAATGGAAGTACAGCGTGGCACACGGCGCTGGGAGACCTCCTGGACCTGGTGGGAAGGGACATGTGGCCGTGTGGCGCAAGCTTGAGATGGAGGGCTTGCCTGCAGTTGCTCGGGTTCAACCACCTTACCGGAAACAGGACACACTGCAGAATGCCAAGGAGTACCAAAGAATAGCAGTGTCATCATGTCGTAGACCAGTAAAAGAAAAAGCGAAACACCGCTCTGCCCAATGGGACAGGATTGCTGGGACCACGACTCATGGAACTTGCTTCTCTCAAAGCAAGCAAAGTAAAACTCATGTCAAACAATGCCGACAGGGAGTCCTCCGAACTATGCCAGTCTCGTCTCCCGAAACAAAATCTCCTACACACAGGTCAACATGTAACCACACAGACACAGGTTCAAACCTTAACCAGTTCAAAGAAAGGCTATCATTACATGTAGACATGACCCATGTATTTGTATATATCAAGTGCATTTCTATGTGCATGTATAAATGGAAGAAACAAGAAAAAACGTCATATCATTCATTCAGTTCCCATAGCCCCGGCACGACCCGAACCACGTCTTGCCCCCGTTTTTCCCGTCTTCTCCGTCCTTCTCCGCCTCGAAGCCGGGCTCCTGGGTCTGCCACTTCAGGGCCTTCCAGGCGCGCTTGGCCAGGCGGTCCAGGTGCTCCCGGGTCTTCTCCGGGATGTAGGCCCGCGCCTGGCGCAAGCCAGCGCTCCAGCGAAACCCCCAACCGAAACCCAGGCAAAGGGGGGAGAGAGGTGGTGGTCGTTTTCGTGTTTGTTTTCTTCTTCTTCTTCTTTTGTGATTTTCATGGGGGGCCTAGGATGGTGGTTCCGGCGCTAAACCCAACCCCAGGACAAAGGCGGAGGGGTGGTGGTGGGTTTTTGGTTGTTGTTGTTTTGTTGTTTGTATTTTTTCAGAGGGCCTGGGATGGTGGTTCGTATACATGTTTGGTTTTTGAGGCGGGGGGTCACAAAATCAGAAATGACCTCAAAAAGGCCCAGACGCTGTTGTTGTTGTTGTTGTTGCTGCTGCTGCTGCTGCTGCTGCTGCTGCTGCTGCTGTTGTTGTTGTTGTTGTTGTTGTTGTTGTTGTTGTTGTTGTTGTTGTTGTTGTTGTTGTTGTTGTTGTTGTTGTTGTTGTTGTTGGTTGTCGTTGTCGTCCCTCCTTTTTCTCGCAGGGGGGGGGGGGCGGGTGACGCAAGGCATCCCAAGAAAGAAGTGAGACAGTCAAAGTGGAGGGCTTTTTGCATCTGCCAAATTCAGGTCTATTTCCCGCACCGATTCTCCATGTCGGTGTCCAGGTCCTGCAAGTGGGGCAAGCCCCTACTTGATCCAATGGAAGTGCAGGGGAGGCTTTGTGCGATTGAATTTCCGTTTTTGTCAAATGAGGGTTTGTGCCTCGCAACGAAACCTGTGGCTCAAATTCAAACTCTAAAAGCCTGCATCCGCCTGAATTCAAGTATGAAAGCTGGTTCGAAAAGGAAAGGTTCAAGTGCCAAACGAGGGCGGCCTTGACGTTCCCGAAAAAAGGGGTCACAAGAGGGTCCGCATCTTTTGGTTGATGCATAACGCTGGGATGGCCATCAGCGTTGGGGTTGGGTTGGGGTGTGATTGTGATTTTGGCCTCTCCCATTTGCCATCCCAGAACCACGGAATTTCCAAAATGAAAGCAGTTGTTTGCTTTCCGGGAGGATACCGAGCCTTCCCTGCAAGAAGCAACATGAAACTGATGAATGGACTGCAGGGTTCTAAGACTCGAATGACGCCCCCAGATCGGAAGCGAAAGGTTCTAAAAAGGTTATTCAAGGGTGCAAGGGTTATATGGGGGTGGCTCAAAATTAAGCAGGAAGGGTTACGCGGATTTTTGTCCATGTTTCCACTTGCCAGGGGTCCATTTTGGTACCGTTTTTTTTTGAGAAACAGCCATATAAAGGTTATGCACGGGCGGTTCAAATTGCAATATTTGGCTGCTGCAGAAACCGGATCATTCAACAGCCGCGCATACGTTTCATCCGGCTGGCCGCGATCTGCTTTTAGGAAACTGGTGAACAAGTTTCAAACAATCAACGCTTTGCTTTCTTGGCACAGGAAAGGATCCCAAAGCAGCAATGCAGCTTGGCATGCGCACGCGTTTGGGTAGTGCAAACAAACAACATGTCCTGTGTCTTTTTCCGTTGCTTTCCACTAGCCCCGGTCAAAGCACTGATGCTCGTTCCGCGTTCCGGCGTTCCGGGGCGGATGTGGTTCAACAGGCGCGAGCGCTACTCTAGCATTGCTCGGTGGGGAAGCGACGACAGCAGCGCACCGATTTGGAAAGACAGGTGGGCCCATGCCAAAAAGAGCATTTTGAGGGTGCTGTTGTGTGGCAGAGGGCAGGTTCTTGGAGGATTGAAAAAAGTATGAGGGACATGTGGGACTCATTGGCTTGGCTGACAACAACAGGTGGACTCACTCCATCTCCCACGCCCCTTACAAGTAACATCATATGCTGACCATGGCAACTTGCAATTTTGTTGAGCCAAAGGGCAACCATGCTTCACCCTGCACATGCAGATGACCTTACCTAAACTACCGCGTTCTGGTGCTACCCCGCTTTGCCCAACGTGCAAAAACGGGTCGGCGACACCTCCGGTCTCGCTATGCGCTTGGGGAAGCGCCACAGGTCGCCCCACATGGCCTGCGAGGACCGGCAAACGCGGGGAAAGGCCCCAATTCTAGCCGAAATGCCCCGCGCATTAGGCGGCAGGTTTGCGAGTATGAGAACAGATGTGCCGAGCAAATCGCAGTAGCAACATCACACACAACTCACGCCCTCAAACTGGCATCTTGGGGTGCGAGTGTTTAAGCTACTACGTGCGGACCATTGCGGACCGGCCGGAGTACATGCCATGGACGATTTTCGTAAACTCTCGTGAGCAACCTCGATCAAACCGACACGTAGCCAACAAGGCCCAGTCCAAGCATCCGTGAGATGTTCAGAAAGCCGCGACGCAGGTACATGTGATCATATCTAGGTCCTCCAGCAAAGAGGTTAGAATAAGAGTACCCTTTTTTTCCCTGTAATCTATTTTAGTAGGGGAACCCTCCCCCAAAAAAGGGTAAAAGGGCACTACTGGGGGACCTAGATATAGTCTGTTTGGCAACTATCACGTTTTGATGTGGCAATTGTAGCCTGCCTGGGACCAGCAGTCTAAAACCCGACACCCGTCGAGATTTCACCATTTCCGAGACTCATCGGCATCCGGGGGGGGATTACATATTTTGGAGCCGGGCGAATTGACTGCAAGATATCTCAGGGTGCCCCAGGCTCCATTCTGGAAGACCTTTCTAAGGGGTGCCTGTCTACAAATCATCACATCTCCTGTTAGTGAGCAAGCACCACTTGTTCAAAACAACTGGGCAAAACATCAGCAATGCCAAACCACCCCCACCATCAAAATCGTTGTAAGCCCTGGTTTGCCCCTTTGCGTATGCTACATGAACATATAATATACATTCAACTACCTGACCCAAGAATTTAGACAACGCATCAGCGACTGCAAACGCTTACAATACTTCCCCACATTCCCCAAGGGCCAACACGTGGAATTTCCAGGTCAAGGACCTACACCGGTGACCCCCTGCTTCCAGCAGTCAAACCGCCCTTTCCGTCGGCTTGCCGCGTAGCCCCGCCTGGCGGGACCAGCGGTAGCCAAAGGAGTGGGGTCTGCTTCGGGACACCGAGAGTCGCTCGAAGTTCTGCGGGGCAGAGCACCTCACTTCGTCTCAGTGGCCCGCGGCCGTCTTAGACGGCCTCCCACCCAAAAACCGCGCAGCTGCCGAGGGATTTGGCGCTCTGGGATGGGGGTTTGGAGTTGATTGAAACGGGTCCCTGGTTCTTGGAGAGGGTAAATGATTAAATGGGAATTAGAGGGAAACTGATACTTGGTGGCTTGGACTGGTGGGGAATTGAGCGCCTGGAAGTTGTGCACGAGAAACCGCTCAAGCTGTCATTAGCTTCCCTCAGCAACCGCAGCAACCGCAAACAGGGTCCCTTCAAAAAAACAACTCCTCTTCTGATGACAGGTGCTTTTGCACATCGGGAAAGTAGTGCCCAAAAAAGTCAATGCTGCCGCGACGAAGCTGTGCAATGCGTGGCCTTGCCTGAAGTAAAGAGTCGCCGGTAAGCAATCTTCGCAAAAAGTGAGCCATGGACCATGTTGTTGGTCTGCTGGGCAACTCAAAAACACGCCCAAACTGGGATGGGCTTGACTTTAGCTAACTTGTCCCTGCTGTTGTTAGCACACATAGTTGCATCACATCATATATAAGGGGGTCAGCTGGTCCCCCTAGACATGGATATAAAACCCGCCCGGCCCAGGGTGAAGCCAAACTCAGACCAAGCACAGGCAAAGGTCGCGTCTAAACACACAACAAGTTAGCAACAAGCGAACAGCTCTTCTGAGGACTGAGGCACACGTCGATCATGGTGTGGCCGCCTGCCTTGATGACCGGGAACCTGGGCTGCGCAGTTTGAGTGCAGTGGTAGATGGGCTCGAGCCCGGGCAAAGAAGAGTGAGGATGTGACACCAACAGAGGTGCCCTGACCTTCCGCTTCAACAAGCACAGCTTTTCAACTCGTAAGCAAGCCCTTGCAGTCCAAAAAGCATAATCCTCGGCCAAAAGTAGGTCTTTTCCTGCGGCGTCGGCGCGTGCTCCTGGTTCAAGCGGCTGTTGTGAGCGGCTGTCATGCGGACTTGCCAGGGGTTGAACAACCCACTTGGGCGAGAGGTCCATCAAACACAATCATTGCAAGCAAGAATCATACACAAGGACTCCGCGTGCTTTGGCGCAACTGGGTGTCACGATGCCGGAGTTTTTTCCCACACCTACCCAACTCAGCCGAAGCACCGCCTCCCGTCCACTCCTTCCCTTCCGCCCGGACTCCAATCCTCACAGCGGTACTTGGACCTTGGCCCCGGGGCGCGCCGGATGCAGAGGAAGCTGAACTTCTCCTCCTCCATGAAGCGCTTCTTGGAGCCCTTGCCTGCGAACACCAAAAAAAAACGAAACGACTGGCTTCTGCTTGGGCAAGCGTCGGGGCACTGAAAACACCGAGCCGGAGTGCAGTCCGCGCAGTGGGGGGTTAAGTAGGTGGTTTAGCCCAGGCCCTAAGAACAAGCAGGGCAAGGGGTGCTCTCTTGAAACTCGCTTGCTTGAAGCACTTGGAGGGCTGTCAAACATTAGGTTCTGCCCGTTTTCTACCCAGTTCCTGTGATCTGTCGTGCTGCTTGTTCAAAAGGCGTGACCGAAATCTCACCTCCCTTTGGCTCAACCCAGCACTGCACCGTGTGAGAAAGACACAGTAAATTTGAGTAAATCATGAAATGTGTTGTTTGCCCCATGCCCTGTAAGTGTCAAAAAACACAAACCCACACATGCAAACACCCACAAACACGCAAACACAATCAGGCGCCGGGATGGAGTGGTCTGCTCAATTTCTGGTCAACCGGCCTGCAATGGACCTAATTAATGATAAGGTCTCTCCAAAATCAAAGAATGCTTCAGGCCAAGAGCTTGTCATGCCAACAGCCACCCACCATAGCACCATCACCGTGTAGCCTTCTTGGCCAAAACAAAACACAACAAGCCAGACTTGGAACCCCCCGGAACCCTCTGGAACCTCCCTGAAAGCTCTCTGGAGCTTGTTTGGGCAAAGAGCCCAAAGCTTCCAGCTGTTGGGGGAGAAAAAACAACACGGTCACTTGCACAAGGCTGAAACTAAGGCTGCTACCCAATCCCCCTTCAGCAAGGCTGCAGTACACCCGGTGCGGCGTGCGCCGCACCCTCTGCGCAAAATGGCACCAGTCACGTCCCGTGAGGGCCAGGGGGCACATGCCCTCGTGAGGGCAGGGCGCCACGAAGTGAAAGTTCTCTGGACCAACGCCTTGGCTCCAAGGACTTCCTTCACAGCGATCCATGAACAATCTCCATGAAATGACGCGATGCAAAACAAAGAACTCAGTTGAACAGGGCTAAAAAATTGGAATCCATGGCGTTTGCAATCATGCTTTTTTTGAATGTCAAAGGTGCCGGTTGTGATCAACGTTTGCCTCTGTCGAAGCGCTCAAAACCGTCTCTTGGATTGTTTTCCGCCAAGCTTTAGTTAGGGACGCTTCTAGACATAATGACTGCGATGGTGTCATCCATTCATGTTGGGCCCGGCGGCCAACCATTGGGTTATAACTAGACGTTCCTTAGTGGCTTGCCTCTGCGCACTACCACCTACGGCATGCCGAGAACGGAAAAAGAACCGCCTTGCGTGTCACAACAGGTATCGGTGCTTGCAAATGTCGGACTGCCAGAAATGGTCTCGTGGATCTAGCCCCGGGCGGGGCCAACAGTGCAAACATGTTCCCAAATACTTTCCCAAAAAACCACTCCAACAGCCCCCAGGGTTCAGTGGACCGGGTCATGTCCAAAATGCCAACCTCCGGAAGACCAGCATCCGGACTACCCAGCGAAACGGGTCCCCTCACGTCATCGGGGCTGGGGGGAAGGGAGGGAGCCCAAATAAGCCCCACATGAAGCCTGAAAAAGGGCTCCCATGATTAAAAGACCCAAAAGTACCCTTAAAGCAATCCCTAGGACATGGTTTCTTACCATCCAAAATTTGCCAACCTCCGGAAGACCAGCATCCGGACCCCGCGAAGCGGGTCGAGCACCCGAGAGGCGTGAGATCAGCATCTCCCGGGTGTGGTGCATGAAGCGGAAGCCCGTGGGAGTCCCCGGCTCGATGAGCACCAGCACGCCGCCCGGACGAAGCCGAGACCACAGGCGCTTGATGAGGGCGTCCCGGGAGTCCTGGCCCTTCACCTAGGGCTCCAGCTACCCAACCGGGCCAAAGATCAGGGCTCAAAAGGGTTTCGATACTTCTCTTTACAACATCGCCATCAGCACCCAAGGTATACTCACCTTTCTTGGGCCGCAAAGGTGATCTTTGTCACCACAAAAGGGGAGAAATATGAGGACCCCTGTACATGTTGTCGGTGCATGTTGTCGTGTTGTCGGTACCTGCAATGATTCAGCGTCGTAATGACATGTTCAAGGGCTCGAAATGTTGCGGGTGCAACTTGGGGGCATCCTTCACAATGTAATATAAGGAGGTGTCTTGGTCGCTTGGACTGGTGGCACTGTAGAGCATGGTAGGACCATCTTTTGGCCTGCGCAACATTATCCCAAAGCATTCAGTCGCTTTGACCGTTCCCATGCATGCCAAATCCCCCCTTAAGGGGGAGGGGGGTGGGGCGTCCCACAATTCCATTTATTCAGTCTTCCCCACAAAAAGGGAAAATGGAACCCAAAATGGAATTCCAGGGGTCACCCCCCTCCCCCAATTCCATTTTGAAGGGGTGGGGATCATGCCAATGTGTGACAGCCCAGCGTGATCAATTCGTCCAGGGGAGCTGAGGATGAATGAGGATTCACCAAAAAAGCACCGACTTCCAAACTGACGCAAGAGACGGGCACGAAGAATGTCCTCGGACCATATCATTCACAAGATAGCCTGAGCTATGGGTTGCCCCAATTAGTATGGCCGGCCTAGGACGTGCCAGGCAGAAAACTCCAAACCACAAGCCCGACCTCCATCTGCACATAGCTCAGCAGGATCAGGTCTAAACCCTCATCAGTGGAATCGTAGAGGCTTCGTTGCCAGTGGATGGGTGGCATCTCCAAGTCCGTCATCAAGTACTTCCTCACTTGATCCGTGCCGATTCTGGGTGACATCTGACACGAAGAACATGCATTGATCAGTCTTTGGCCGTCAGAGCGCTGAAAATCCTGTCCCATACTGGCAGCGCCAAATCCAAAGGCTCACTTCCCGCCTTGAATACCCTCCCACGAATGAACATGGATCCTGACAGGGGGTCCCTTGAAAAGGAAAATGGTCCAAACCAGGAACCCTCCGAAACATCAGGTTTCATGTTTCGGGAGGGTAGAATCCACATAAACGGCTCGCACACAACGAGTTTCAAATCAGAGCGTCCCCAGCTGCGTCATGTGCTCGGAGGGCTCTACTGCCGTCACATACTCCATGACATTGGGCCAAATCTCCTTGCGCGGATCCGAGGGTACATGTATATATATATATATATACATATATATATATATGTATATATATATATATATTTATATCACATGTGTCCATAACAAACTGGTAGAAACTCCGGGACCCATCGTACGCACCCCTATGTTCTGGGTTACCTAACTGGTCCCTAATTTACTAATTCTGAGAAACAAGCCGCGGCCCACACTGGCCAGAGTCTTAGACAAGCAGCCTAACACAAAGCATCGAACGCGCTCAAAAGGAACACTCCTCCCAAACTGGCCCCTACATGAATCACGTTCCTTTCATCCACAATGTGAAAATGAAAGCACCATGAAGGCCTGCCTAAAACGATGTCTTTTGTTGAGAAAGCTTCACTGGTATCACAGTGGGAAAAGTCAGCTTCGTGCGCACAACCCTGCCCTGAACCGCAAGAACGGTCATGTATAGACGAATAGAGGGATCGTCCTTTACACCGTTTCTGATATCAACGATCAAACCTTTTTCTATCATTGCCATGTGGGAGAAAAATATATAGCATCATGAGTAAAAACATTTGGCTGTCTTTTTTAGGCAACCCCTTCAAAATGGTGATTGTCCCCTTGAACCGGCGAAAAAGAGGGTATCAATTTCCAAAAAGACAAGCCACCCATTTAATCAGCATAGACTTGAAACATCATCTGGGTGGGTCAAAAATCGGTTAAAATGGAACCCTGAAAAATGGAAACCAGGACTAAACCTGCAGGGGTCCATATCCTGGTGGCTTAATATTCAGCCATTTGGCAATGGGTCATAACCTATGGCTCCATTTTGGGGCGGATGAACACCCATGTACCACGTATTTTGATGTTCACCAGGGGTAGTTTGGCTTTTGACCCTGTGGCCATTTTCCGTTGACCCGGATTTTTTAGCTCCGCACACGTCGAGTCCTGCACCGCCGCCAGAGAGGGGCAGGGCCCGGCGCCGTAGTCCATGACCCGCTTGGGCTGAAAGTCCGGGGCGCGCCGCGCCAGCCTTAGGGACCCGAGGGGAAAACTGACCCCTGTCCACGTGCCCCACTTTGGCTTGGGTTCCCTTTAAAAAAAACACGGGAGGTCAGCTTTCCCACCAAGATGGGTCCAAAAGGGGAAAACTGACCTCTGTCAATGTGCCCAGCCTTTTCTTTGGGATTCCCTAACCCCCCAAAGAAACACCGGAGGTCTGCTTTCCCATCAAGATGGGTCTAAAATGGGGCAATGTGTCCCTGCTTTTGATTCAATGGTTTCAAAATGGGCCCCCATCGCTCGAAGTGTCGCTTCTATTCACGGAGTTTCATTTGAACAAAAGCAGACGCTGGGCCACCGACACGAGTGAACAAAAACGATCCATGCCAACTTTCGCATAGCGTCAGTGGCGTTTCCCCACCTGCGAAGATGGCCGGGCACTTCGACGCTGAAGCTTCGACATTGCCCCAGAAACATGGGGTTGCCTCATTGCTTTTGGGGTACGCAAGGGCGTACGCCCCTTAATGCGGGGTCTGGTGTTGCCCTTTCATCCTCAAAGAAACCTCTAGTTATCCCCTGCATGGATGGTTTCGATTTGGCTTGCCCCGTTTCAACGCAGCCCCTCATGCCGAGGCGCTCGAAGAGGACTCGGAAGTTCACCTAGCGGCTTCCCAAGACAACAACGAACAAACGAAAGCTATGCTCTTGGGAAACAAATATGGGTGGCTCTTCTTGCTTTTTAGGATTTGGACGCAACAAACAATCAAACAAACAAACCAACAAACAAACGCCGTGGAGCACTACAGGGAACCCAACAAAAGCGGATGAAAAGCCGGTGCCATTCCAGCAAATCCGCCGCCCAGGTCGCCGGATACCTGTGGGCCAAATAGGTCAATGCCGCCTCGGGGGACCAAAACATCTGGTACCTCAGCCAGCGCCGTGGGGTCACTGGACCACTTGCCACGGGACCCAGAAGTAAACGGTTACCCTTCATCCCACACCTGACAGGGAAATGGGTTCTCCAAGAGGAAACATATCTTAGGTACCCTCCCATAGGTGCCATGTTACTGGTTGGAGGGGGAAAATGGGACCCTTAGTACAAGTGGACAAAAAAAAAGACAAAAAACAAAAAGGTCAAAAGGTCGGCTTCGGACAACTAAGCATTCCGATGACTACTTCCTCATTTGGCAAGGGGAGGGGACGCTGTGGAGGCCCACACAGAAATAGGGGCCTCCCTTCTGTAGGGAGGTCTCTTGGCAGAAAGTGGCCCTACCTGATTTTCCCGAATGGCACTCCAGCCATTAGGCCGCAGTATCGGATAGTCCATCTCCCTGCTAGACAAGGGATCCCTGCAAACGAATGGTAACGAGGGCTGAAAGCTTACATTTGAGGACATTGCCAACCCTCTGCGAAGCGTATAAAAGACACGGGCCTTGCGGCATGTCGGGGTACAACAAAGCAGAGTTCCCTTTTTTGACTGCCAGGCAGACTTAGGGGTGGTTAATTCCCCCCAAAAGGAACCCCCTAGGTGTCAGTCTGCCTGGACATAGTCAAAAAGCGGAACCCTGCACTGAGATGCTTCCAAACGTCTTTTCCCCAAGTTCCTTCCAGGGTGCAGCACGTGCCGGCGGTCCTCCTTGTGAGCGATGGCCAAACGTCGCATCGTCGAGTCATTCAGGTTCCTCACGCCCGCGTGATCGAAGAGGTCTTTGAAGGCGGGGTTCTTCCGCATCTGCGCAAGAGGCCCATTGTCATGATCACTCTCCTCAGCTAAAAGGCAGCTCAGAAACAAAGACAGGAAGCAAAGCAGGGCAAAGCACCAAAATAACCCACAAACTCGGAAAGCTGAAAGGGCCATTTGAGGAAACCAACCGCAGAAGGACTCAAAACCAAGAAAAATGCGCCCGGGTCTCCGGCAGGAATTCGGAGGGCAAGACCTGAGGCACCTCCGTGGAGGTCCTCGAGCGTTGGCGCTTCAGCAGGTACCGCCCGTAGCGTTGGAGATCTTTCCTCATGGCAAAGTCTTGGTTGACGTTGGGTTTGGGGAGCAAAACTTCGCAAGTTGTAGCAGTTCAGTGGTTGGATTTCAACCGCCAAACCATAAGCAAACAAATGTAAGATGATGCCCAACAACCATGAAGTGATGCGGCTCACGGCCCATGGGGCCGCATTTTCGAACATGCTGCGCATAGGGGTTTGCCCGGAAGCCGGTTGGGCGATTTGCTGCGGCGTGGGAAATCCAGACTCTTTGGGGAACCGCACTTCACGAGGTGCGGGAACCACGCGCCGGACGTGTGGTAGCAGGGACCTGAAAAAGGTCGGGAGCTTGGGGCGAGAGCTCTGTAAGGCTGTGGTTTTCAAAAATTATCGGTACCCCCAAGAAGGGTGTAATGGAACCCTGGCAAATGGAAACCTGCACACCGTGCGGTCCGAGTCCTGGTGGTTTCAAAATTTTGACCCATAACTGCAAGTCTTGAAGTGCAAGCAAACGTGCAACTTGGCATCAACTTGGCATTCGCCCAGCGCTTTGCAAGCTTGGCATGGGCCCCGCAATAAATGAAAGTCTTGAGCTGAGCACACTTTACAACTAGGTCCTCTGGGGAGGTTAGAAGAAGGGTACTCGATTTTTTGTCTGTGGTCTATTTTAGTGGGGGAAGCCTCCCCCAAGAAAGAAACGGTAAAAGGGCACTATGGGGGACCTAGACAAGGAACAGCTTTGCCTTCCGCCAAATTTGGTGCATACGGAATAGGAGAGGTAACGTCGGTCAGAACCAAGAAGTCAAAGCTCGGAACAAGGAGGCCAAATCAATCATTTAGCGGCTTATAACTTACCAAGTCCACTGCTTTTTCTCTGGTTGGGGCCACCCCCCGCATCACCCTCGAACTACAGTTTGCTTGGCTCAGCAGGACTGGGAGTTGATGCTCCAAGTAGCGAAGACCTTCTCCCGTACAAATTTCAAGTGCCCTCAGCAGGTGATCCCTTGCTCCTCTCAAATGGGATGTTGTGGTGGCGGTTTTCTTTGGTTCCGAGAAGGAAACACCTTGGGTCGCTGGATGCAGCTGTGGATTGCTTCCAAAACGCTGGCAGACAGGTAGGTAGGGCGTAAGTTGGTCCTGAATGGAAAAAGAGTAGGACGATCAAAGGAGAAACAAATACAAAAACCACTTGTCCATGTTTGTGTTTTTTCCTTGTTCATTGTTTCGTGGCTCGGAGCAACCCTTCAAGTGTAGCCCAGCGTCTTTTGCCCGAAGTCCCGCAGCAGCCGCACGATTTTCTCCATGACCTGTGCCGAGACACCCCAACCAAGGTGGAACCACCACAGTGGTCTCCTTCTTTCTTCAAGAGCCAGCAACAGTCTTGAAACACCCAAGCCTGGTGGCCCCTTCTTCTCCATAACCCGGTGGTCTCATTTTGCTGCTTCCTTTCTTGCTGCCAGAGAAATCCAGCACGGATCAGTCATGACTTACTCGGCCGGGAGAACTGCTGGAAGACTGCCTTTTCGTGCCCGTGACAGAATGAGCAACACTGAGCCTTGGGCGACCCAGCAACTTCCGATGCTTGAGAGAAATCGGAAGCCCGTGTAAAGCCACGCTTGCCAAGGAAAATCATCGGATGCAAGACATTGATTGCCAGCACTTGAACGACACAGGTGTGCATAGTGGTGCGTGTGAATCCCACAAAAGCGGCAAGCCAATTTGAACAACTTGGCGGATGACGAGGTCCAGCTGCAAAGGACCCGCCCCTCTAGCCAACAACGGGAAAGGCAACCCTAGCTGCCAATCTGGGCCTTGCTATAGGGCTAACTGTCATGGTTCCAGCGCCTGAACATGTAACCAGTGAAAAACCAGCGTCTCTGGGCAGGAGACGCTTGTCTTCCCACTCTGGTCAGTGGGTTCGCCAAAAAAGTCATGCATACTCAACGGGTGAAACAGTTAAAGCAAAGTAACGATCATTCGCTTGATTGAACATCATGTTCCCTGGAAGTAGCTCTTCAAAATCAATAGTATCAACGGTGACTTTGGGTAGCGCACCCGGCCTCGCAAAGGTCCGCGAAGGTAAAAAGTAGGGGGGGATTGGGGGCGGGGGCAGCGGGTAATTTCCTGCATCCAGCTTTTTTTTCTGCCTTCCCCGCATGAATTGCGGATCTCTGCTCCAAGTTCCCTTGAGGCTTTGGGGGGAATGGCCGGCGTCCAAACTAAGAACCCTCCCAAATTGTTGATGTCTATTCTGAATATTCTTATGTTCGCTTTTTCTGCTCCCGAAACCGCTTCACGTTTCCCTTGTCCTTTTCCCTTTGCGCCTGCCCCGACATGGATCCAGCTTCGCCATGCCTTCACAGCTCCCGCCTGGCGAGGGGCGTCTTGCGTCTTGAGGCTCATCAAGGCCAGCTGCTCCAACTCCTTCACCGCCTGCGGGTCCAAGTCGTCGCTGGGGAACATGCGGTCAAACCTCAATGCAGCCAGCGGTCTTGCGCCCGAACCCCCTGTCTACCCAAGTCGGACAAACGGAAAAACGCGCGCGCCAGAAGGCGCCTTTGAGAGGAAGATGTTTTTTCAGGGGAACCTACAGCCAGCTTCCATGTAAAGCGGGGCGTGCGGGTGGCCATTCCGTGTGTATACACATAGGCCTTTCTTTCAGGAAGCGAAACATGAGCCTGCATATGCTTTGCTGCAGGTTTCTCACCCTCCACTCATTGAGCATGCTCTCAGTGCGCTGAAGTGCTTGAAGCCCCGGTAGATGCTCTTGGAGAGGCTCGCGAAGACGACACCCGCATCTTTCACGCCGAGGCCTTGCGAGCCTCAAGGTGTTCAAGGCTCATAGCTTGGGGAGAGCCCACAATGAGTGTCATTTGTTCAAGGGCGGTGCACCCTTGTGGCGCCGCTTTGAAGGAAAGCCGAGGGGAAACCACCGACAAAGCCGAAGACTGCAAAATCTGTGTGTGTGTGTGTGTCCTCCCGTTTCCTCACCCAGTGTCAAGACATGAGTAATCGCAGGCTGGCTTCTTGTAGTCACAGTGTTCGACTTACCACTGCAACACTGCTTGTGGTCTCCTGGCCCCTTTTGGTGCACCAGCTGTGCAAAATGGTCAATATTCGACGCAAACGGCCAAGCCCCAGAACAAACCGGAAGAAGCGCTGATCCTTACCTGGACCCACCCGATCAAAGGCCCTGGTGGGTTTTACCCAAAGGCACCGCCCAAAACGTCGGAAGCGGGGTGCCCCCCCCCCCTGCGCCCTGCGCCTGCCGAACTCGAGCAGCACCTTGCAGCCCCTACAACGTGCCTCCATGGCCGCGCCATGTCTACATGCTCTGCGGGCAAAGGTTGCTCGCCCACTTGTCGATGCCTTCATCGGTTGGATCTGCTGCGTAAATGGTTTGGTGGGTTGATGGCTGCTTCGATCACTGGCTAAGAAAACTCTACCGTGCGGCCTTGCACTAAACAGATTCCCCTAGCCCGGAAGGAAGCAACATCAAACTCACTGGCTGGCACTCGGCCGATCCAAACAGCAACGGTGTGTGCGGAATGCACCTCTTGCCAAGTCTCAAGAGCGCTGCTCTGTGAAACAACCCACATTGTATCACACACAGCCGGATCAAATCGTTAAACAAATAGGTCAATTGCACTCGCCACGACCTACTTTGACACAAACACTGCTCAATGTTTGGAAGCCAAAAAGGCCCATTTCATGCTGACAGCTGGCTCCGCAGCCCTTGAGCCAGACGGCGATCCCTCCCCTTGGTCCTGCACTTCTAAGAATCACAAAACGGGCCAACAAAAGAACAAGACCCCACAAAGGCCAAACGGAGAGCAAGGGGCAAACCGGGTGTATACGATCCCCATCCACTCACATGGAACCCGCCAAACACTCCCTTTCAGAACGCAGACCAAACCACGACGCTCCCAGGATCCGTCTATTAATGTGGATGGGAGGGCGCCAGTTGTATCGATCGAGTGCAATTCTGGGCAGCGGGCGATGGTATGCTTCACCTACCGGGGCGCAACAGAACGACTCAAAACGGTTCGACTCAATCAGCAGCTCTAGCTCTACTTCTCCCATTTTTCAAAAAAGGGATCCTCATGGGATGCTCATTTTCAGGGATCCTCGTTTTCCCAGGGATCCTCATTTTTCCAGAGATCCACATTTTCAGCAATGCCAACTCCAGTGAGATTCAGAGGATTCCCAAAACACGGCATAGCACTGGATGGTTTTGCCTCCCGAAAATGATGAACACATCACATTGGTTGTTCTATTGGTTTTCTTTGGCCACCAGCTTCAGAACCATCCAAGAAGGCGTACCTAGTTTGAGCCACACCAAATATGGGTCGCCACCATGGATCTCCTGTAACCAGCCCAGTTCAGTGCAGAATCTAGAAACTCGCCTCATGGAACTGGACACAACACTCTTTAGCGTGTGGCTGCGAGCCATGTGGCGTCGAGGGGCATTTTTCCAAATGTGGAAACCCTCGAAACCACATCAGCTCGCAAAGTGCTGACGAGAGGCGATTTCTGCCGACCAGGGGTCGAACTCATAACCTGAGCGTCGAATGAAGTTGGGATAGGATGCGTGCAACTTAAGCAGCCATGGAGTTGCAAAACGTTGACACAACTCGTGCGGTTAACTAATGGACGACATGATTGGATAACTCAAAGCCCAAATAGCCAATCACTCAAGCAAGCAATTCAGCGCATAATCACATCAAACAAAGCAATCAAGCAAACCAAACACAGAAGCAGCGGGCAAGGAAAGCAAGCAAACGGTAAGACTGTTGAAACAGGTGACGCCAAACCAGAGTGACACTGAAAGAGCTGTGCTCGTGCCACCAGCTGCAAGTCTGAGGCGTGAAACGCGAGTAGCCTTCGACGATGAATGGCCCCTGGCGAAGGAAAGGTTCAATCTTGGTCAAGGAGCTGATGCTTCTCACCATTTCTCGCCTCTGAAAAATAGGGCCCCTAACTAGGCCGCAAGCAGCACCCTTCCTGTTCCCATACATCACCAAGCTTGGCTGTAAGTACCGGTTGGCCAAAAACTGGCTGGCTGCCTGGAATCCTACGTGTTGCTCCCTTGTCGAACACATGTCATTTGATTTCCTCAACCGGACCTCTCCGCCTAAGAAGGTCTAATACCCGTTGCGCTATGTTTCGCCTTTTGTGGCTCAATTGTCACCCTGAGCGCTGCTGGCAGCCAAGCTTGGTGATGTACAGGAACAGGAAGGGTGCTGCTTGGGGCTCATAGCTGAAACCGCCTCAACGAGAAACTTGCAGGGAGGCATCGAAGGACAGATATGGTGACAAAGGCTCGTCCGTCTTTGATTCTTCGCAAATGCAACAGTTGGGTCTGGCTTCCTTTTGGCTGTTCCGGAAGGGCCATTTGGGTCTTTCCCTACATGGAGCATTCCTTGACAACGCAAGTCAAACAATGCCGCAATTCCTGATAGAAAAACACACACCACGCATGTTCTGTTCCTAGATCGACAGCCTGAGCCAAGTCTAGGGTCTGTCGCGAAATGCTTCCACCGCTTTCTGTTGATTCATGTCTGTTGGGTTCCGGCCATTCGCCTGGATGAAACGTAAAACTTAGACTAATTATCCCGTGACAGAAAGCAATCATTCGCCTCCAAGCAATTGCCTACGTTAAACGTGCATGTAAAGCTGGTGCATTCTGAAAGTTTCACTCGCGTTCTAGGCTCAAAGGCTCGAAGCATTCTTGTGCTCTCAAAACATCTCCTCTGTGGATTGAACTTCAATATGGCTATGGCTAGCCCAGATTGCTCGGTGGCTGGGCCAAAAGTAATCATATTGAAATGTTGTGGTTTGCTCGAAGTTGCCGCTTGTAAGGAGCACGTCCTAAATCGCCATCCCCCAAGACATGTGCCAAAAGCTACTTCCGCAGTGGCCTGACGCACCATCATCACTAAGTTCTAAGGATTGCCGGGGTGGGGGGGGGGGGGCAAAGTTTGGCCCATGCATCGTTTCACAGCTTGGTTTTGCTTTGGCCCACATGTTTGCCGTTGCCGGTCTTGTCTACTCACTTCACTCCGAGCCCTCAAAAGACCTACAATCCATGTCCCTTATCCCTCTTGCCATTTGCGGACCGCCTCTCGCAAGGTGTAGTGGCTGAGGCCCTGGGCGTGAACCAACTTAGAAGGAGCCAAAGAACGATTCTTGCCTGTGGGGATTGCGGCCTCATTCTGAGAATGCAATCCGAGCCAACCCAACCTTACCCTGCAAAAGACAAGGAATCTCCATCATGCTGGTCTGGTAAAGAAAACCGGTGTGGTGGAGCCTTGCCAGAACTGGGAGCCAAACAAACATGGCGTGCCAAGCATGGAGCGATTTGACACGGGGGTTGAGGGGCTTCACAAAATGCAATCACTTACGGAAGCCCTTCTGTCTGGTTTGCTGCTTCTCGAGCAGCCTCGGCACATTTTCTCGATCGATATGACCGAGGCCTGCATGAGCGCCCGCTTTCTCTCCACACTGCGCCGAAACCATGGCAAAGCTCAGTGTCCCAAACTCATCGCCCGAAGGCTTCCGAAAACCCCGTGTCGAAGGGGGGAGGCCCAAAACAGACATACCCTGAATGAAGGAAGTTGCGAAATAGACCCTAAGTGTCCATCGTACGGGGAGAGGGGGGGAAGGAAAGCTCCGAGCTTTGAGGCCCCCGCCAGCCAAGATCGCACGTCCTTGAACCAAAGCTTGAGGCGCCACCTGGCGTATTGGCCAGCCACCGGTTTTTGGCATCGCTACACCGGGGAGGGGGGGGGGGGTGGATTCATAAACCACTGGTTGATGGGGGGGTGTTCGCTTTTAGTGCGGATTCATCACTGGAGGAGGTGTTTTCCCCTCTATCAATAGGATGGGTTTCTAGTAATCTGGGGTCAACATCACAATCGTCAGTGATTCGATGTGGCCGAAATGTCCATCTTCGGATTCATCTGGCCTGGATGCATCATCAAACAAGTATCACACACCTGCGGACTAACATGGAATGAAGGGGGTGCCTATGGGCGCATACAATATCGAGTTTGAGACACAACACTGACAAGCGCTGGAAGTTGGAGGTGCAACTATGCTCCACTTGCAAACCGTATGAAAAGCAGATTGCAAAAATTAAATGCCACAAACAGGGCAGCCTGTTGGCAAAGTTTGCGAGCTAGGCCGATGTACGGCCTAGAACTTGTGGGCATGCTTGAGAGCCGTTGGGCATGCTTCAGCGAGTAAACGGCAAAACTCACAATGTGATTCTGAATCTTCCACCAACGCCTCCTATGAGACATTTGTTGGCAATCGGTCGGCTTGTTGATAGCAGGATCAAGCCAGGGTGAAGATGTGCTTGGGCCCTTCAAGAGGTTCAATTGCGACCGTCTCTCTCACCACGTTTAGGCGAATACTCCAAGTGGCCAAGGGGCTGGCAAGGAAGACACGAGCTGGATATGCGCTTGACTGAGGTGCTCCCTCACATGAAAGCAGGGCTCATCATAAAATGGCCACATGGCCGCTGCAAAGTGATGGTTTACTCAGCTTCCCTCGAGTTGGTGGTTTGGAATGGTGGTTTGCGGGTCAGGGAGTTGCTTCCCATTTACTCTCCACACGATCTGGGGCTCAAATCCACAAGCCAGCAATCCAAACCACCAATTAAGGGTCACCTGATTTGCCATGAAGCCAAAAGGATCCAAAAGGCAAAGCGCACCCTTGCAAACAAAAAGCTTACCCGGCAAAAATACAACAAACACACCACGCAACACGGTGTGGTGCTGTGCCGTCCCAACGCCGGGCGCCAGGCGTGCGCCTGACAGCATTGCCTTAGGCTAACAATCAGTCAGCTTTGCACCCGGTCTGATTGGATCCCGCATGCGCAAAACATGGCAGCCGCGCCTGAGGTACATCTGATTGTTGACAGGCCTGAGTCTCTGTGCCCTTTTTTTTGCTCAGGCGTCACTTCAAGACTTCGATTCCCATGCCACCTGTCCAGCCAACGGTTGTCTTCAACCGACGAGGCTCCTTGGTGCTCGGTGGCAATCTCCGGGTGCTATGCTTGCCAGTCTGGGAAATCCAAAGAACCATGCAGAAAGAGCCGATGTTTATTTGCTCGAACCATGGTGTCCTTAGTTTTGGGGGTGGGCGCACGCACTTAGTAGAATAGCGAGAGGTTGACCCAATAGGCATAACAAAGTCTGATAGCTATGCGTAAATTGAATCGTTTCATGGATTCTCCAGGAGTTGCGCACGTAACCAAGGCATTATCTCTTGGCCTGCGTTGATTAGCGCGGAAACCCTCAGGCAGAGAACCCATTGACCACCCAACTCCGAACATGGGGGAAACCTCTGTCCCAACTCAAACTTCAGCTTCTTTCCAGCTTCAGGTCAGTCAAACAAACCGCAACGCCCCCCTCTCGGCCCCGGTGCGGTGTCATGGACGTGATCTCCAACTGGCTGCGGTCGCAGGCGGTGCGCACCTGAGGCCGTGATGCCACAGGCAATCTGTTGCTAAGAGGCTTCACTTGCCCAAAGGACCCATCAAAAAAAGGTGAACCTTCTGGGACCCCTACTAAAAATAGACCAGACAGGGAAAACCAAAAGGTCAAAAGGTCTGTAGATCCCCCAGCAAAAGTTTAGCTTTTTGCTGGTTAAAAGTAAACATGAAGGGATTCCAACAAGTTAAAGTCTAAAGATCCAACCTAATAGCGGTAGAGATACCCCCTTTGGGTTCAAATGTTTTTTGACACACAAGGCATGGCATAGTTCCCTATACCCTCTTTGGCTTACATGGCCTTGCCAAGGCATGAAACCCACCATTTGGGGGGGGGGGATTACCAAGAAGCGCTGCTGCAGGGGGAATCGGATGGAATTGCCAAACCCTGACTTGCTTATTTCCAGCTGGGCGCTGTGTGCAGTTTGGCGGGTACACCCGCAGGAAGCGGTGAAGCGACCCCAGCGTTCCAGGGATAAATGAGATCAAATGGCTATGAATTTTAAAGGGGAACCCCCCTCCAAAGCGGTTGGTGGACATGGATCCCCACCTAAATGATGCCCACCAAACGTTCCCTAATTAAAATTCAGGCCCAAATCGAGCTGAAGCCACAGCGGTTCGCTTGTCTCTGAGGGACAGGCTGACCACTGCAGCGTGGACAGCACCTGGCAAGAGAGCAGCCAAAGGGCACTGAATCAGCTTCCAACTAATTGCTGCTTCGGAGCCCTTGGAAACCACCCCGGTTTCCCCCAAACCACCGGGCTCCAAACCACCAAGGGGTATAGGGTGATTGAAGGAAAGTGGTAGGCGACAATCCCAACATTGGGAAAGAATAAGAGACGCCTGTGCCCGCTTTGTCTTGCCTTACCGCCTGAAATTTGCAGGCAACAGAAATGGAGTTGCGATGCAAGGATCCAAGCTTTGTCAGTCAGGGAGCAGTACATATGGATCCCTGATCGAGGACCCGTGAATCTAAGAACAACTTCTCCGGAATCCTGTTTCAAGTTGATAAACTTCTATTGTGCGAATCAGGTAAGCCGCTTGACCCTCCAGGAACTTCCATATGATGTTTGAATGACACTGAACATTACAAGGGATGCTCTTTGGCATATGTCAACAACAAAACCAGCAAACAACCCCAGTTCTTGTCATTCCGCCGAAAAATTGATTGCGCCCATTTGCCTGCTACATCACTGCTGGGAGCTACTCCTTAAATTTGGCCCCCATAAGTAGGACAATCGAACAAACCCGCGTCGCATTGCAAGTGGCCGGAGGGGACCCTTTTTGGTTGTCCAGTTTTCGTGGGGAACCTACTGGACAACAAGGGGAAATCGAGGATTGGGGGGGGGGCACGCCAATCATTGGGTAGGAGCCTTGATCCTGGATGTTTTGCGTGGGGTCAACAGCTTGCTGCGTGGTTGCTCTCGACCCCGCTTCAAGAAGTTGCTACCTGTTTGTGGGTATGGACAACCCGACCTGTTTCAAGCAAGTTCAAGCAAGACCGTTATTAAAAAAAAAAAAAAAAAAAAAAAAAAAAAAACGCCAAGAAGGCGGTTCTTCTTGCTCCCTCCCACTAACATAGCACCTGTCAGAGGGTACCTGGAGGTTACATGTCCTCTTCAAGGGACCTATCAGGCGCCACGTCGCGCGGGGATCGTCGGCGCCTGTTGGTAGGTGGCCAGGCCCCGCAGCTGAAAGCTGGGCAGCCGGGCGTCGATCACCTCACGCTCGGGCACTCTGAGCCGGGAGTCGGGCCTTTAAACGGAACCGAAAGGAACTGGCAAACATGCAAAACACACCCACGAAATCGCATGCTTCTACCGGCTGGCCTCATTATTTTATCATCATCAAAGTCGCCCCCTGAGTGGTGGGTCAAAGGGAAACAACTCCATGCACTGACTATGATAACCCCCCTGAAACCGTCAAAATAATGACCGCAGTTCTAGAAGGGAAGGCTTTTTGTTGAGCCGGTTTTAGTGAAGAGCACGTCGTGGCAAAAGTGATGCGAAACAAATGAAGGCCACCCAAATGGTTGATCTCTCCTTTCGGTGTTTGACAAACAGGGTCCCAAAAAAGGATCGTTTCACAGCGTGTTCTACACATAGTGCCAAGTAAAACACACAAGAAAGTTGCCACCTTCCCGTACAGAAAGGCACGCAAAAAAAAATCAAGTGACCTGCTCAGGCACTTGTCTGGATATCTTTTCGGAGAGGGGGCGCGGAGTGCTTTGGTCAGAGTCGGATCCCTGTGGAATCTGTGTCTTGGATGGCTTTGGGGCGGACTGGAAAGGGAGCCTCAGCTCCCAGAGCTGCCAAGGACACACGCGCAGCCAGCACATCCAAAGCCCAAGTAGCTGGAACTACAAGCCTTCAATGCGAGTGTTGTTTTTTTTTCCGAAAGGGGGTCCCTTATCAAACGCCGACATGTGCCTACCCCGTCCTACAGTATGGGCCCTGCGGGAAAGAGTTGTACAGCCGGGCTCCCCCATCGCACGGCTCCGACCAGAACAGCGCCTCGATGTTGTGGCTGTAAATGGAGAAGTCGGGCGTGTACCGCCTCAACTGCCGTAGCGCACAATGAAACTTACAGTTGGGGTCCCCCCCAAGCCCAAAAAAAGAAGCGAGTGTCCACTGCGATCCCCTTTGAAACCACGCCAAAAGGGGTGCCCAAACCCGAAAAAAGCCGCATCTTCTGCTCACCGAAAGCGGATAATTCCCTATTTTCGCTGAGCCCGGCGCGCCCGGCCGAAAAGGCCCACCATGTCCCTGCGCAGCACGTCCTCAGAGGGCAAAAGGGTATTTATTGGTTGCCCGGGACCAAAAACGGGATCCGTGCAAAAGGAGACCCCTTTACCAGGAGCCTCAAAAACCGATGAAAATGTCATACCCTTTTACAGGTTCTTGAAGCCCTAGGTAAATATGCTTTTGCTTTGGTCATCTTAATCTGCAAGGAAGGTGTGGCATCTGCAACGGCAACCAGCCGGAACACCAACAGATTTCTCGTGGTTTGTCCGAGGGCTGCGCCTTAAGCTAAGCAGTTGGCACAAGTACACATTGAACCAACTTACCTGCACAAAACAAGCAGGAGTGCCGTACGCCAAGCGAAACAACAAACAGGACACACCCCGAAAGGATTTGTTATTGTTGGGAGGATACTTCAGTCCACAAACTTCTCAAGAGAACCCACCTCATCTCAGGCTTTGTCGGTCCACCTCTTAATATCCGTTAATATCCAGCTTGATGGTTGTTTATCGTGTCAGACCCGCTTTTCTCATCCACACCCAGCTGGTCTTGCGTCGATTGCGGGGCCCAGTGGCAGGCTTTCCCGGCCTTCCGCATATGCCTTCCGATGCCTTTTAGCGGAGGCAGTGCCTTATAGTTCAAAATAATACCCAGTGGGCGTATTCCCAGGGTGTAATACAAACAAAAAAACCCTTAGATCGATTGAGACACCCTCCGCCAAAACTCAACTCACGATCCTTCCCAAGGGTGATGTTTCTCAAGTTAAGAAATACACAAACCACTGACAAGTGTGGACACCAAGCATACAAAACGCATCAAGCACGAAGAACCTGGCCTCCAGTAGAGAGGTTAGAATAACTTGGTACCCAGTTTTTTCTGTCGTCTGTTTTAGTAGGGGAACCCTCCCCCCCGAAAAAAGAAACGGTGCAAGGGCACCTAGCTGAAGAAAACCTCGTGGCAGCTCGCCCCGCATAGCACCCACGGCTGGGCCGTCATTCGTGCCGGCCGGGCCGCGGCCGGGGATCTTCGGAGCCGAGTTCCTTTCGCGAACATCGCGGCACTGGCAAAAGGGCCATAGCAGTGGCAATCAACAAAATGCTATGGAACTGACATTTGTTATACCATACTAATAGTAATAATGCTATTAATTGAAAAATACAACAACAATAATAATAAACAGTGCCAACAGCAGTGGCTGACTGTCTAGATCTGAATCTGTGTTTTCAGGAGGGGGCCAGGTCCGCAATGGGCTCCTGTCAAGCCGAAGATGGGTTTGTTGATCACAGGCGCTGTCTTTGGCGCTTCCTGATGTGACACACGCAGCACTTCGCTCAGCCGGCTGCGGCTGAGCTAGGCGAGGCGAAGGCGATACGGACCGCGAGGCTCCTTATGCAACGTGGTTGCGCAAGCATGCACCCAGCGGCTTAAAATAGCAACGCATGATAAGCTTTGACATTCACATTATTTACATTGTTCGTGCATGTATTTATGTATGTGTGTCTGTCTGCATTTTAGTTCATGCACAAATTCATTCCCAAAACGGGGTTCTAAGTAGCTGGCTTAACTGGGCCGGCCTCGGGCAGCAACAAACTCAAGGCAAGTGCGTTGCTTGAATTCGGACGCTCAGCAAGCCCCTCGCCGCAAGGACCCCCCACTGAACCGGAACTTTTGATTACTAACTTGGAGGTCACACAGTTGGTGTCAAACCTCACGTTGCTTTCTGCTCCCCTGCTAAAAGTTTAACTTTTAGTGGTTTCATGGAAAACCCATTAGTTGGCAAAAAGTTGAAGTCCTAACATCCAAGCAAAATGCACCAAAGCTAAGTTGTTTCAGGGAGCCATGCCCAAAGTGATTCCATTGCTTTCGGCCGTATGCAGCGACCGTGAAACACGTCCTTGAAGGCCTTAAGAGCACACCACCCCTTACCACACACGTCAGCCACAAAGCAAAGGACAGTTTACCCTTTGCAGGTCAAAGGAAATTGAAGAAAACCCAAAAGGGCTTTCTGAACAAAAACAGCAGGAACTAAAGAAGCGCCGCCTAGCCTTGAAAGACCAAAAGCACCTCACCCCACAGGCTTCTTCCAGGCCGCGCCCGGCGGAAGCCTCCGGGCCGACAGTGGCGCAGACGTTTCTGTGGGTTCGCCGGGCTTCCACAGAAGCACAGGAATTTCAGCCGACATCAACGAGGATTGTATATGAGGAGGCTTCTGAGGACATGTGGTGTTTCTCTCTCTCTCTCTCTCTCTCGCGCTTCCTTTTTGTCCGGAGGGTCTTGACGGGACGTCAACTAACTTGGAGCCAGAAGACCTCGGCCTACCTGAGGGTTCTCTTTTTTTAGTTGGTTTTAAGGGGAAGCAACGGACTCCGTGGGTTCCCTCTGACGTCAGCCTCCGTCCCTGCGCCTCTGGCCCTTCTGCTCCCGCAGCAGCTTCCCCTCCATCGCCAGCTTCCGCGCCGCCGCATGGACACCCGGCATCGCGGCCTTCCTATGGCATGACTGCCAGATATTGTTTGCATGTTTTAAACGTATGCATATATGTATACATATAAAAATATACACACATATCTCGCTCTCTCTCTCCCTCTCTCTCTCCGCCGTTGCGTCGCGATGACCTTCACAGTAATTCCTGGCCAAAACGCCAGTCAGGCAGCCGAAGCTGCAGCCGCGGCACCTCGCTGGGTCAGCAGGTCCTGAGATCTCGGCTCATGGCAAAATTATGTTGTTTGCTTTTCTCAACTCGTCTTGCCTCTGCTCCCCTGCAAAAAGTGAATAACTTTGAGTGGTTTAATACGGAAAACCCATTAGTTGGCAAAAACTTAAAGTCCTAACATTCAAGCAAAATGCACCAAAGTCAAGGTAGGCACAAACCCAGGAGTTCCTCTAGAGGAGATCACCTACCCCTGGGTTCAAGCCAACCTTGGAGCAAAAGGAATGGACCCCTGGGTCAGGTGGTGCCTCCCCTACTTGTTCTCAATACCTTGGGCTTCAAATTCTCATCCGCCATTCCAACCTACTGAGTAAGGTTGGGTTGCTCGCCTGCCCAAGGAACACGCAAAGAAAAGGAATTATTTCCCCTTGGGCCGACGGGGCACGCCATAGGCCAAGGCGCTTCTCCTTGCCCCGGCGCCGCACAAGCTCCAGCAGGGCCTCCTCCAAGCCGCCCAGCTTCGGCTCCTGGCGCACACCCCTGGCTTTTGGAGGGACACAAAAGTTCCGGGCATGGTGTAAACCATGAAAACTCAGTTGCCCCTTAGAGACATGGAAATAAAAGGTGATCACCTTTTGGGATGACTACATGGACCAAAACAGGGAAACAAAAAGGTCAAGAGGTCGGCTTTGGGCAAGGGAGAAAAGGATTGAACAGGAAGGGTCAAAAAGCGAATGGACGGCTTCGACGAGTCGAAACAAGGTCAACCCTGGCTTTGGCAAGGATTGCCAGAAATCTTGGGAGTGGGGGGAAGGCTTGGCAAGACCCGAGCGCAACTTGGGGCATGTATCCAACACAGGAACAGGTGCTGGAAAAATATCCTCCTAGGCCTCTTGCACTTATCACGTCTTGGGTGAACAACCACGTACATCGCAACAAAGCTTATTTTCTTTTTTGGGAGGGGAGGTTTCACCGGAAACAAAAAGAAAACTGGCCTCCAGGTATCCCTCCCACTCACACCCGTGTTATCTTGCCCAGGCCCGAACGTTGACCGCGCCTTGCGTGCAGCGCAAGGCCTGGCGTCCACCCCCCGCGCGCTTGCCGTGCCGCGATTCAAATAAAAAAGAAAGGGCTTGGAGGAAGCACGCTCGGCCACAAATGCGTTGGCATAGACCTCCGTTTTTCCTGGACTGAGAAGCAGGCCCACAGGAAACATGATCAAGCATCTCTCGAAGTTGGGGAAACGAGCGTGCAAACAACAGGATATCGTCGGCATAGAGTCCTACGGGTTGTCTAGCCCACATGGATGACAAGCCAGGCTTCCAAAACCCAGGCCTCATAAAAATGAGAGTTAGTTGGACCCTTCGGTGGGGATTCTTTCCATGGTGATGTTATGTCCAACCACACCCATTGCAATTCATATTCAGGCAAGGAGAAAAAACGCCCCTGAGGGAAACTCGAAAAACTTTCTCTCAACTCACACAGGTCAGACTAACATCGAACTGTTCTGGCAGCCACCAGGCGCCACCGTGTATGCTGTGAATGTCCATGCCACTTTTGATTTTGCAGAACCATCAGGGAAACGCTTGTGGACAAAACGGACGGGGTTGGGAAGTCCGCAATTTGAGCCCAGCCTCTGCGAGGCAGGGCGCTTCTTGGCCATGGCTCGAGCTTTGTGAGAGATGACTTGCTCGTTGGATTGATCCACGGTAGCGGGGGAGCCGGGGGGCGTGCTGTGGGGGGGTGGGGGGGTGCACGGGGGTGCGCTCGCTTCAGTGCGGACAGGGACTCCACAGCTCCCCAAACTCATCAGCTTGCCAATTCTCAGGCAGCTCCCACCCTACCCTCCACAATGCCAAAAACCTTGAAACACCAGATCGCCTGTTGCTTAAAAATTGTCTGTTGGACTGCTGACGGCAACCAAATATGTTGCCAATGGACCCCCATGTAAGCCCAAGGGCGGGTAAGCCTTGCGTCAAAGACTCGGGAGCTACCCAGCTTCGACAATCAGTGGCTTGCGTATGTGCCCATGTCATAAACAAAGTCTACCCTGTTTACGAAATTGCCAAGGCACCTGTCCAGAAATCAGCCCTGGAGCTTTGATGGCATCTACCGATAAGCTGCCAGGAGCAAACGTGCAACGGCATGCACTTGGAGCTGCTTTGTAGGTGCGGTTGCATAAGCAACTGCTTCACAGCCTGCCGCATGGCAACTCTTCACCCGTCCGGTATGGCTGGGCTCTCAACTTGTGCTGGAAACATTGTGAGAGCATGTCGACAGGCTGTCCAGTCACCTGTTGTCAAAATTGGTTCACTTTCCGTCATGAAATGACAAGCTCGTCATTCATACACCCCCTCTAAAAAGCAGCGGGCAGACAAGCTTTGGCAACAACGAAGATGTGCACATGGCGGGCGAGCACATCTACAGAATAGGTCTCACCAATCTCTTCCACGTCGAGCCCAGTTTCACGCTCAAGGAATTTCCGGTGCGGCTGGCCCGAGTGGGCCGAGACGGCCGTCTCGGGGCCCCGGCAATGGCACGGCCGACGTTCAGCCGCCACTGACTACCGGCCTCAGGTCTGACTTAAATGCAAAATGGAGCTGGGCACAGCGGGGCTTCAAACCAGCTTCAGGAAGCACATGAGACATCTCTGCTAGACTGGAATTAGGACCCCAGCAAAAAATCTCTTTTTGCCTGGTTAGTTGAAAACAAAGGGGACCCCAAAAAAGCAAAACAGGAACAAGGGGAGCTAATTCTGGGAAGTCTGGTTGGCATTCTCAGGCGCAGTCCCAACACTTCCAAGGTCCTCCAGTTCGTTGCACCATGTGAAGCCGCAAAGTGGTTTGGCATGGCTGGTCCGTGTTTTACCGGTGCTTCTCATTTGTGGGGCCCCGAACTGAACGCAGGTTTCTCGAGCAGCCCTGAGCAAAGCATCCATGCTGCCACCGAGCAAAGTGTGCACGCTCAACATCCATTTGCAAGGCTATCAACAAATTCACTTCCTAAATAATTTGCGATAACAAGCGCTGTGTGAGCCATAACGCTCAAGGTTCACTCAACTACAATGCCTGCTGCAGCTGCTTGACGATTTAGGTCAAACCAGGGCTAAGCTTGCAAATCATTTGTGGCAACACGTCTGGCACTCCGTACAAATCCAAGCAACCAATCTCTGCCAAGCATGGTCTGACCCTTATCGGCAGTAAGACTTGACCCGGCCAGCCTAGATTGTTTCATCTGCAAGCTTTGCAGTCGTTTGGACCAGCCCGTTCGACTTGGTCAATTCCTCCTGGTGAGCTGAATAAACGGACAGAAACAACCTGATTGCTCGTCTCTTCCTGGGGGACATGAGAAAAAGCCATGCCAGTCGGAATTTGGCTCAGCCGAAATCTCGAGCCTGTCTAATCCTGGAATTACCTCGCAAAGGCTGCACAGAAACGCATTGAGGGCTGCGCAGGTGGCTTCTCAAGAGTAGTTCCGCCCTGCGGAGATGATGGTTTCACCGCAGCGCGGCCGAGCTGCAAACCAACACTTAACGGAGGAAATGCAGCATGAGCCCCCCCCCAAAGCTACGGCCAACACGCACACACAACTTGCTTCGCCAAGAGGACAGGCTAGCCTGGCCTTGCATTGCGAGTGCAACTGATCCATAACAAAACTGCGTCTAGCCTTTACACCTCAGACCGCTTCGGACTAAGACTCCTGATGTCAAGAGGCTTGATTCGCTCTCCGGTGCAGACAGCAAGACACATTTGCAACGAAACCCAACCCTTCCAGGGACTATGCACAACTCTTAGGCCAGCCACAGTGCAAATGTATCACGGCCCGCGCTTTCCAAATGACTCAATGCCAGCTTGGGTTGGTCCACTTTTTGGAGGTTGTTGCTGTGGTCCAAGTGCCCCTCTGCCCCGCGAAGTTGTGTGGAACCTCTGCCAGCGTCCACTTACGCCAAAACTCTCACGGCTCCCACTAACATGGCTGACAAGTGGCCCAAGAGGCAAATTGCTCCAGGTACCAATACCTCACACAGGTGCGATCTGTTTGGAGGCTATGACATGCCGCGCCCCGGCGCCCCGCCGCCCCGCGCCTCTGCATTCCTAGCCAAAGGAGCCCTGGGGCGGGGCACCTCAGAGTCTGCAGCGTTGGCCTCTCCCAACCTGCCCAAGGCACACTCACCTTGGGCCAAAAAAATAATGTTCAAAACAGCCAAAAAGGGAAATATAGGAACCCCTGCCCAACCTCAAACATTCCGGCGCATGTGGCTGGGGCTATTTGTGGGGTGGGTGCTGTGTGCTCATCACCGAGCCGAAACAATGCAAATGTTCGAATGAATCCAGGGAAAGTTGTCGACAAGAACCCACGGATGTCACATCTTTTGCAGAAAGAAAGCTTTCGAAGTTGAAGCAGTCAGCACATATCATGACTGAGGAGTTTGAGAAAATAAAACTTGAGGCAAAACAAGCGTGCACAAAGCGCAAAGAGAGTGAGAAAAGTAGCAAAACCAAGGTGATGGGATACCAGCATAGTGAAGAGCGGCAAGACAGACATGACAAAAGTTGCACTATGAAAAACATGGAGAGGTGAGCTAAGCGTGAACAAACAAACCAAAAGCGGCGCAAGACGAGCAGAGAAGAACAATGAGAAAGGCGGGAATCACAAATCTATCTAAACCTCTGTGGGAGTTTTTTTGAGGGACAACCCAACAGCACACTCTCTCAGAACCTTGATAGAAACCTTTTGCAGTTGGGGTTTTGACTGCAGGGGGGGTTCTTGTTGAATGGTTGTCCTGGCCGCAGCTTACCCAAAGCCAGTGCCAAGAGCTCCATTGAACTACAACTAGGCTGGAATTAGGACCCCAGCAAAAAAAACACATCTTTTTTGCCTGGCGAGTGGAAAACAAAGGGACCCAAAAAAAAAATAGTTTAAAAAAAGTGGAGCTAATTCCGGGGAAGTGAAGAGCCCCCAATTGGTGCCCGCGCCGCCGAGTTGGTGAAGGCCACGAGGCCACTGTACGCAGCCTATCACTCGCTCGCCCTTCAAGGGACCCAGAAATTCAAGGCGATCACCTCTTGGGGGCCATGAAACTGGACCAAAAAGCAGAAACCAAAAGCTCAGAAGGTCGATTCGCTTTGGGCAACAGAGGTCGTATTGGGAATTTCTGGGGGGTTGCTGCAAAATGGCAAGTGGCAAGACTGGCAAGTGGACTCATTCCGCTCTCACCTATGAGAGCTAGTCCGCCTACGTCCTTGGACCAGGACCCTAAAAAACCCATGATGTTGGTGGTTGTTCGTACGAGCACAACTGCAAAGAGATGATGCAGGAAACCGGTTCTGGGCGGCCAGTGCGTCTGGCACCTGGACAAAAAGCCCAGCCCTGTCCAAAAGTGCACTACAAGAGACAATCCAACCAGTCAAATGTGCAAACCGCATGCGCCCAGTTTCGTGACTGCCTAAGGTTGCCAGGAAGCGAACTATTGAGGTGGCAGACCTGCGGGTACCACCTTCAGTTGTCGTCTCATCGAGATCAGTTACACCATGAGTTTAAATGGACTTGAGCATACAATTGGTGAGGCAGTTGAGTTGAAGGGCGGAAGGGGACAAGACAGAGCTTTGTCGTTTTTCTTTGACATAAATGAAGGTCCGGGGCTGGACGAAGGTCTGGCAATCAGACATGCGCTTATATTCATGCAGCAAGTTGTCGTTGCACAAAGACGGACACTTTAGGATTTCTGTGCCTAGGGTTCCAAATGCATGCAGTGAAGAATAGTCATTGCTGGGGGTGTTGTTCATTTGGGGGATGAGAAACGGCTAATGTGATTCCAAGCGCCCCCCCCCAAGGAAAACATGTGGGGCCAACTGGCCAGCAGTGCCCGGAGTTGGGTTCACATTTTTGGGTTGTAGAAGATGCTCGAAACCACGTGCAATTGTTGGCCTTTGAGCCAATATGTTGCATGATGGCAGCAAGACCAAACCAAGCTCGAACATCCAAAGCTGCAATATCGGCGTGGACAAGCTGCATGAATAAAACTGTTTTGCACAATATACCATGCACACTTACAGATCTTTATGCTACCACGCCTCAGAACTTATGCCCTGAACAAGGAAGGCAAATCGAGGGCGCGGGAAGGCCAGTTACCAGCTGCAAGCAACATGTGTTACAGCATTGAGCAGCAATTGCTCCCGAAGTCAGGGTGCGAGGAATCCATTTCGTTGACTCACGATGAGTGACATGCATGGCTTAACTTGACACACACCAACACATCCCCTTGTGGACCGTTTGTCTTGCCCGCCTGAGCAGAATAATGTTAGCGATTAATAAAGGGGAGCGAATACAAAAAAATAATCTCAAAATTATTCACTCTCCTGAAAAGCAAAAAGGGTAGGTATTACAGAAAAAAACTGCCCGAAATCCCGAAAATATGGCCCCTTCCAAGAATGGACTATTTTTGCGGGTTGAAACCTTTGAGTCCAGCCAGGAATGTCCAGAATCTCTGGATTGCTTCCTGTCCCAAACCACCAAATTCCTTATCACTCCCTTGACTCGAAGATGCACCCTGACAAATTTTCAACGGGGTGGCGCACGGAACCCCCAGGAAGACAATAATGCAGTTTGTTTAAGGGTAGGGAATTGTGAAAAAAATTAGCCAGGGCAGACTGCCAAGAAGAAAGCCCTGCTGTTCTCAGGTAAAGCAAGAAATGTCCAGAATCTCTGGATTTCTTCCTGTCCCAAACCACCAAATTCCTTATCAATCCCTTTACTAGAAGATGCACCCTGACAAATTTTCAAGGGGGTGGCACACGGAACCCCCAGGAAGGCAATAATGCAGTTTGTTTAAGGGTAGGGACTTGTGAAAAAAATTAGCCAGGGCAGACTGCCAAGAAGAAAGCCCTGCTGTTCTCAGGTAAAGCAAGAAATGTCCAGAATCTCTGGATTTCTTCCTGTCCCAAACCACCAAATTCCTTATCAATCCCTTTACTAGAAGATGCACCCTGACAAATTTTCAAGGGGGTGGCACACGGAACCCCCAGGAAGGCAATAATGCAGTTTGTTTAAGGGTAGGGAATTGTGAAAAAAAATAGCCAGGAAAGCCCTGCTGTCCTCAGGTAAAGCAAGAAATGTCCAGAATCTCTGGATTGCTTCCTGTCCCAAACCACCAAATTCCTTATCAATCCCTTTACTAGAAGATGCACCCTGACAAATTTTCGAGGGGGTGGCACACGGAACCCCCAGGAAGGCAATAATGCAGTTTGTTTAAGGGTAGGGGAATATTGTGAAAAAAATTGCCAGGGCAGCCTGCCACTAAACCAATTCTAAACTGTAGTGAGTCAACTGAAAAGAATACTGAACTAATACTAAACCAATTCTAAACCGTAGTGAGCCAGCTCAAAGGAATACTAAACCAATACTACACCAATTCTAAACAATACTTACTGGAAGACTACTCAGGCAGGTCCCAGTCTGACCCCCATTTTGTTTTTGGGGTTTTCGCTATTGACCCCCCCCAATTCGTTTGAGGAGGGGGGCCTTTATTAATCACTCTCCAACATTACATCATTTGCCAAGTGTTGGTGCTCTTCCAGAGAATGCGCCAACACAAAGTGATCCAACTTTCTCTGGCGAACCGTAAATGGACGCACCAAGAAACCCACGACATAAGGCATGGAAGGGTCCCAGTTTTCACGCATAGCCGCAAAGTCCGAGTTGCAAACATGACATCACCTTCCGTAAATCAATGCCTGAGGCCCCCACGCCCGACCAAAGGGCTGCAACCAGAAAAAGCCGCAAAAACCTGGGTGTGGCACCAGATCTCCATCTGTCACTTACCCCTTCTGGGTGCGAGTAAGGATGTGGCGAAAAAAATGCGAGGTGCAACGAGCTGCTTGGCTTGCTCAGCTTGCATCTATCTACCCCCCTCTCTAAAAAGACAAATATGTGCATACATGGCCATTGGTCAAAATCCAAATCGCACCCCCAGTGAACATCCCAATCCCCACTAAAATAGACTAAAATGGGTGGTGCACCTACCCCAAAATGGTCCCATAATGGTACTTGAGGAGCGGGTGAACGAAAGCTAGCAGTTCTTGCATGAGATGGGTCGGTGACAGAGTGGATTCATAGGTAGCTTGTGTACAACGAGAGGCCCGGCAAGATTCGTAGGATGCGACACGCAAACGCACATGGTGGCGTGGCAAACCTTGAAAACTGAAAACAACGAGAGGCGTCAGAAGCTGTCTTAAAGCACCTCTGGGTTCTGCATGCAGCGAGTGCAAAGATTCTTGCGAGGTGGTTTACCGAGAAGACTGAGGTCTCAAATGAACAAGCTGAATCGGTGGAACATGTAAAAGTTCGTAGCACCAAGTCCAAAACGGGCAAACCGAGACTGCTGAACACTGAGCCACTGCCCGGGGGGGGGGGGATGGACCAGGGAGGAATCGAGCCTGAGACCCGGGGGGGGGGGAGGGGGGGGGGGTCTAAATAATTGATGTTTTTCAATCTTTTCGGCTCAAATAATTGAAAAAATCAATCTTTCGGCATTTGAGCCCCTTACCTTGCTTACGCAAGGAGAAACTTCAGCTAGCTAAAGCTAGCTTTCGTGACTATTGCTCTTGACCCACAGCCATATAGAGATATCAAGCACTTCCAGTCACACTAGGCAGCGTCTAAGTGCAGGGCACTCGAGCACGTGCCGCACGACCTCTGCCACGTTGCTGAGACCCGCTCGGATTCAATCCCGCAGGTTACAGAAACTGGAGATCAGGGGAGGCAGACGAAGGCTAGCGTCCGTGCGAGGGCGAAGGCGGCTCACTCTTGGGGCTTGACAAAACTTGACTGGAATTAGGACCCCAGCAAAAATATAAAATATATGTGTTGCCTAGTTAGTGGAAAACAAATGGAACCCCAAAAAAGCCAAACAAAGAAAAGGAACTAATTCCGGGGAAGAAAAGAGAAAGATAAGAAGGAACAACAGCCAGAGAGTTGGAACAGCCCTGCGTCCTCCGGGCCAAAAAAAAACGACTTCAAGGAACACTGCTTTCAAACCACTTGGCAACGGGCACTCAGCGCGCATAAGTCTTTTAAGAGCGGAGAACTGAATGGGAGGACAGCGAGGAGAACCAGCGAGCAGAGGGGTCAGAAGCTGGAGCTTGCGAGGTCCAGGGCCCGGGAGGGAGTCGCGGGGTGGGGGGGATTCGGGATTCGGAGGTATCAGTCAAGGACAAGTCATCCTCAGCCGAGTTTCTTGCAGCGCACAAATACTGATATGTCACAGAGTGGAATTCACTGGCTCCACTCGCAGCAAGGGAGACTCCACTTAGCAAGCTTTCTTGAGACCTTCTTATTAATTTCAGAGCCCGAGGCTCGGCGCTGAAGCAGCCGGAACAAAAACCGCTGATTGGCTCATTTCACTGCATGGTTGGTGATGAACCGTGCCAAGCCCTTCTACTTTTGGTGCCAATCTTGTAAGTGCTCCGACAAATGGAACCCAACCGCCTTGAAAGCGGCTATGGTGTGTGAAACAGCTCATCATCTTGTCAAGCAGTGAACCTGTACTTCCCTATCAATCAGCGTTCGCACCAACTTGTGAAACCAATGCCCTTTGGCCTTCGCCAGTCCGGACATCAACAACACAAGCGGAATCAGGAATGATGAGGTCCACCAGTCTCTTGACGCGCTGGCATTACCTACTACCTACTCCACAACCGGGTTATATAGTGGGCTTAACATCAACCTGCATCTGGAGGCATTGAACAGTTTCCACTCCCCTGTGGCAAGCGGCCTGCGTGCCCAGTCCTGCCCTGAGCCTTGGTACGGAGCCGTTTGGAACATCTTTCCAGCGGAAAGCGCTCGTCTTTTTAGAGGTTGGTGGGTTGGCAAGAAGGCGTGTCTGACGAACAATGCTTGACCTCAAAAATCTCGGTGGCAGAGTTAAACCAGCAAAGTGCACCGGCACAGCTTCCCGGTAAATGGCAATACATAGCGATTATGACAGAGCTAGGGGCATTTTTTGGGGAGCAGGGGCAGTTTCAAACAGAATGAAACACCATGGGACCAGCCATATCGTCTCAGACTCTGAGAATCCGGCAGCTGAGGCCGACATTCTGTGTCACCCGTGCCCCACGCGCCAGAAGGGCGAAGAAACCAATGCACCAGCGAAACAAACGCGAGGTATTTGGTGCAGGCTGGGGTCAACGTCGTGCTCGTCCAGCTTCTGCATGCTCGAGTTGCTCCCACGCTGACTGCCTACAAGAGCTTGAGCCTCTGACATCCATGGCTGAGCTTGCAGCACGCAACGGGAGCGCGCTTGCAGGAGCATCGGTCCCCGGAGCAAGGCTGCACTTGGAATTGCAAGACTTGGTAGGATATGCAAAGAAGGTGCCATACATCTCCATGCTGCCCGTTCTGACTTACTCTCCCTGATACCTCTCCCCAGCCCGGCCACGAAATGCTCGACTGGGCCCGTCGGAATTCAGGGAATCAGTGAGGCCATAGTTCAATACCACCGACGGGCCAATTTCAGGTCGAGCAAAGGTGACACCATACTCCAGGTGACGGTGACACGCAAGCGAATAACCTTCAAACCCCTGTGCTTCACCCCTGGCGTACCTTTGGACAAAGGCATCCCGACGGTCTCTGTTCTTGTTTTTCGGATCCGCCATCTTTGCCCGGCAGGTTCAGGCCCAAAGGCCTCAGCGACCCAAGTGGCATAGCTTGCAGGTTCGGCTCTTTCGCTGTGCGGGCTGCGAAGTGGAACTCCTAAGATCTGAACATGCGCGAGATGGGGCAGGCGTGGCAACCTGGTTGCATTTGGTGGTTCTGTTGCTTCCCAAAGAACGGAACTCAAGGATTGTGGGAATCAACCTTGGCAGCTGCTCAAGAATTCGTGAAGCTGGTGGGCGGGCATTGTGTTCGCATGTGGCAAGGCGCAGCGCAGTGGGGTGGGGGTGGGGAAACTGAGCCCCTGCCGCCCCAACGCTCAATTTTGCTCAAGCACGCCCAGGAACCGTGATGCCATACGCTCGATGTACAGCTAAGCCCAACACACACAGGACACACACACACACAGGACACACACACACACAGGACACACACACACACACATTCACACACAAGCCAGCGAACCCAGGCTGACAAGGCTTGAGATCGCCGCAATCAGCCTACGTCGCTTGTATAAGCAGCTACCATCGCTACCGGGTGTATCCGACAGCGCGCCGGTGCGCTCCAATAAAAGTTACCTACTGAACACAAATGAGCCTTGGCCCAACGCCAAAAGCTGAGCGGCCTGGCTCTGGCCCGCTTTCAACAGCCTACTGGGCCTGGTGCAGGGGCCCAAAATAGGTCGGCCGCACCGGCACATCTGTATTCATCGAACCGTCGGCGGAAGCACGCCCTGCTCAGGACCATGGCAGTACTCCGGCATGATGCGCCCTGGCGCACCGTGCCCTTCCTCAGGTTGAAGCTCTCAGATGGCTGGCGCGCATTCAGGGATGCACGAAAAATGATGAGACGTACAAGCCTGGGTGCGTTGACGTTAAACGAAGGGATGTTCACACAGAAATTGAGGCATGCCATGCATGCCTACCAAAACAATCCAGCACCACAAAAAACTCACCCCTTACTCATGATGCACTGAACAAATAGTATCCAGAACAAGGAAACACGACACCCCCAAACTACAGCAACGAGCATTCAGTTTCTGATTGGTCGCATTTCGTGTCTGAAAGAACGCCTCCGGTGTCGGCCATGCTCTGACTTGCGCCATCTACAGCAGCTGAGCTTGCCCTAAATGTCCTGCCCAGATTGAACCCGAACGCCCTGGGAGCCAAGAGAGCAACCAGGGTCTTGTTCACAAGCTTGAACGTTCTGCCGGCGATGCACGAGCCAACAACCGAAGTCTACATGAACTCTGCCACATCCGCTAGCCCTCCTGTGGAGTAATTAAGCCTTAGGACTCTTCACCGAGCAAGCTTTGAAAGGTGCTTCTTTGGAACCGGTTTCTTGGGCCAAGAGCCACCTCATAACCTGCCGTTGCCAAGGCACCGTTGGGTCACAGGGATGGCACATCCACACGTTCAGGACATAGCGCGGCTCTCGGCCGTTGTGGGTCACGCTGTGAACGAAGGTGTCGTCGAAGGTGATGACTTTGCCCTCCTCCCACCTCACAGTCTGGTAGCCCACCGACATGAAAAGCTCCCCGTCCGGCACAAGCAAGGCCAAGTGAGCCTGCAGCGGCTGGAGGCAGAGCTGCGCAAAGCACTGCCCACTGTTCACACACGTCTCGCACGCACACAAAACGCAAGAAACACCCCACGCAAAGCGGCATGCACAGACAGACGAACACAGACGGACCAACAGAGAAACCCAAAGAAAGCGAGAGAGAGAGAGGGAGGGAGCAAAAACAAACAGGGACAGGACAGCCAAAACACACAGTCAGAGAGACAAACAAGACAGAGACAATCACAGAGAGAAGGAGAGAGAGACAAAGATTGAGGCAGCGAGACACGGACGGAAATACGGAGACGGAGAGAGACTTCAGCGTGACAAAGAAAGAGCAAGAGAGAGAAAGAGAGAGAGAGAGAGAGACAGACAGACAGACAAACAGACAGACAGACAGACAGACAGACAGACAGGCAGACAGGCAGACAGGCAGGCAGGCAGGCAGACAGGCAGACAGGCAGACAGGCAGACAGGCAGACAGGCAGACAGGCAGACAGGCAGACAGGCAGACAGACAGACAGACAGACACACAGACACACAGACACACAAACAGACACAGGCAGGCAGGCAGGCAGGCAGGCAGGCAGGCAGGCAGACAGACAGACAGACAGACAGAGACTCAGACAGAGACCCAGACCCAGACTCAGACTCAGACTCAGACAGAGAGAGACAGATACAGAGAGACAGATACAGAGAGACAGATACAGAGAAAGAGAGAGCGAGAGAGAGAGACACACCCTGAGAGGGCGAGACAAGACAGACAGAGAGACAGACAGACAGAAAGAGAGAGAGAGAGAGATATATATACACAGACAGACAGAGAGAGCGAGAGAGAGAGAGAGACTCACAGAGGCAAAGACAGAGAGAGAGAGAGAGACAGGCAGACAGCCAAGCAGCCAAACATGCAAACACTTGCACAAACAAGCTGACAGAAAGACAGGCAGACAGACAGACACAGACAAAGCACAAACACAGACACAAACAAGGAAGCCAACAAAAAAAAGGAAGCAGCAACACAAAGCAAGCAAGCAAGCAAGCAAGCAAGCAAGCAAGCAAGCAAGCAAGCAAGCAAGCAAGCAAGCAAGCAAGCAAGCAAGCAAGCAAGCAAGCAAGCAAGCAAGCAAGCAAGCAAGCAAGCAAGCAAGCAAGCAAGCAAGCAAGCAAGTATGCAGGCATGCAGGCAGGCAGGCAAGCAGGCAAGCAGGCAAGCAGGCAAGCAGGCAAGCAGCCAGCCAGCCCGCAAATCAACGAACAAACAAGCCGACAAACCGACAAACCAACACAGGCGGGCGAGCGAAAAAGCAAGCAAACAAAACAAACTACAAACAAATAAACAAACAAACATACACACATACAAACATACAAACGTACAAACATACAAACAAACATACAAACATACAAACATACATACGAACATACAAACAAACAAACAAACAAACAAACAAACAAGCAAGCAACCAAGCAAGCAAACAAACACGCGCGCGCGCACACACACACACACGCACACACACGCACACACGCACACACGCACCCACACACACACACACCGTGGCGAACGCAACAGACGTAACCAAGGCTATCTTCAGATTGCATGAAATTGGGGAGGGGGGCAACGCCGTCTCTGTTTGTTTTGTTTGCTTGCTTGGTCGCTTGCTGTGTCGCTTGCTCGCTTCTTTGTTTGGAAGGCAACCCTCGGTTGGGCCATTGTTACGTAGCATCACCCCGCTCAGGATCTGCATTCTGAGCTAAAATACTAGCCTCACGTGAATGGGCCTGATAGTGTTGGCATCCTGTCCCGAGAAACACTGAGAACCGGTCACCCTCCTTTCACATCCAGGGCGCCAGAAACAACAGGAATTTGGGCCCACGCGTGGCCGAGAAGCTTTGCTCAGGTTCTGCGGTCCGGCAGTTTCGGCGCACCCCTCTCGTGGAGTTCTAGAAATTCATGCGTTTCAACGTTTGCAAGAGTTTCCTGTGCCTGCCTAACTTTTTCCTGAGCTGGTCTTCTACACACGCGCTTGAACAGTACGCGCGTGAATATGGGCCACTGATTGACGTGCAGCTGGCTCCTAGCCCAAGCAAACTCCCGCGCTTCTCTACATGTTCCCTTACATTACCCGCAAGGGACGCCCACATCAAACCCACAAGTTGCTTAAATCACAAGGAGGGATGGGTCCTTTTTGCGAACTCTCAAGATGACCCACCAGAACTCGTAAGAAAAATGGCCACTTCATCACATCATCAATAAGTAGAACCGCCCCATGTCCCTCTTCGCTCTCCCAACGACAGCGCGGCAAAGGCTTGGCCAAGGCGCGCTGAGCCTCGGGGCCCCGCCAAAGTGCGGCTTCCTGGGCGCGCAGCGGCTTCGCCGCGGCCCGGCGGCCGGTTTGGTCATGTGGCCATGGGTCAAAACCCAGATCGGTTTTCCCCCAGGGAGCATCCGATTCAATCCAAGCGCTAAAATAGGGTCTGGCATGGGTGAATTCAAATTCACCTACCCCGAAATTGGAAAGCTACTTCCCTTCCAGCTCCCAAAGCTACCTTAGCTTTTGCCAGCTGAAAATCCGCCGACATTGCTCGGCGTGTCGGACACCTAAGAGAGGATAGAGGATAACCCCCCCCCCCTAACCCCCCCCCCGCCCGACGTCTGATACGTGGGGGGGAGGACCGCGCGGCAATTTGATGACGTTCCACTAAACGTAGTCTTCGGGGAGCCGGTGTCGCAAAACAGGGGTCCCAGGCTCGATTCCCCCTGCCGGCTCTTTGCTGGTTTGGGGTTCCTGCTTCCTTTTGCAGAAAATCTGGAAAAACTCTGTGTTTTTGGAAATATTGGGGAGCAGAGGGGAAAAGGAAGTGCAAGTGAAATGAGGGGAGGAAATAGGAAGTCGACATGACAGGAAAGCAGCGGGACATGAAAGGGAAACAAAGGGGAACTGAAAGGGACATGCAAGGGACAGAAATGAAAACAAGGGGAGTGCAGGGGGAAGGAGAGGAAACAAAGCACAAGGAAACCAAGCACGACGGGAGATGTAGGGAAATGACTCGCAGCGAAAGAACGGGACATACATGGCAAATGAAGAGGACATACCGAGAAAATGTCAGGGACATGAAGGGGGGGCTGAATGGCATGGAAGGGACAGGACCA